TTCACTGAAATTTTCACTGAAAGTGAAAAATTCGAAATTTTTGTAAAGTATCAGGAGAACATGACCATCGAGGAGCTATTCACTGAAATTTTCACTGAAAGTGAAAAATTCGAAATTTTTGTAAAAGTATCAGGATAACATGACAATCTAAGAGCTATTCACTGAAATTTTCACTGCAAGTGAAAAATTCGAAATTTTTGAAAAAGTATCAGGGGAACATGAACATCGAGGAGCTATTCAGTGTTTAAACAATATTTCGATTGATTAGCCATTTACATAAGAAAAAATAGGAATTTAAAAAAAAAAAATGAATCTTGGCGGGATTGAACCCCGGCCGTCGGCGTGGTAGCCGAGCACGTTACCGCTAGGATAACGCATTATTACAATAATAAAATTTTATTAGGAGTATATATTTTGCAAAAGTATCGTTTTAAAAAATTGCTAATTCTTCAATTTCACTGCATATCTCCTCGATTATCAAATATTCAGTTTTTAAACAATATTTCAATTGATTTGCCATTAACAAAAAAAAAAAAAAAATAGCAATTATTTAAAAAAAAAAATGAATGTTGGCGGGATCGAAACCCAGCCGTCGGCGTGCTAGCCGAGCACGTTACCGATAGGACACGCGCTCATTATTATAATTTATTTCAATAGGAGTATATCTTCAACATATTGAATAATTTTTTTCATTTGAAATTCCACAAGATGTGGCTCTACCCTTCCGATCGTTCTACAGTTGGCTAAATTTCAGTTAAACAAATAAAAAATAAAAAGCATTCATGCCGCAGAAAATGAAATTCACCCCGTCGCGTTGAGACACCCCAGCATTGCAATAAAAACTTGGTCAATAAAAAAAAAAACACCCCAACATTGCGTGTGGCGCCCTCCCTTTCTTGGGGTGCAGTACTACGATGCCGTTGGTGTCACTCAACCCCCCAGAACTGAGCCTCTACTTTAGTCAATCCTCTTTGAAGCTAACTCTCGAATCGGACTTCTACAACTTCTTTTACCAAGCCAAGTCATATCTTGGTCTATCCTTTTGATTGAGAAATTCAGAGTCTCGGAATCCTCTTTGTAGTAAAAAGTGAGAGTCCCCACGTCGTACGTGGTAGTGTCCTCTCGTCACACCTCCCTATCAGTACTGTTGTAGTACTTATTAACTCGTAATTGCCTCCCCAAATAATTATCAATCGCAGTGATAAGCCGTGACTCGATATGATATCACTCATCTCACGCCCAAACTCAAACAGATGTAGAGTGACTGTCCAAATTTTCTGACATATCGTATAGTTCACTTCATTCTCCATAATCAACATTTTTATTATATATATTTCTAAGTGTTCAACATTGATAACCAAGAGAAATCACTAAAAAAGAAAACCATTGAATATCCCGAGGGAGAAGTTGTGAGAAAAATAATGAGTGAATTGAGTCAGGAAGAGGTGAGTCTTGATTTACATTATCATAAAATATTGCAATAAAATCTATCTAATCACCATAATTCACTGCTTTGTCAATAAATCTACCATGCTCTCACTATTAGCTAAACGGCCAATGCTTTCTCTCGTACAACTTTTATTATTATATAATGAATTATTATTTATTTTATTTACCCATCACTTTGGCTCCATTGTCTTTCTTTGTCTCGTGGGCTACATTCCATAGCTCTATATATTTTTATTGTCTCTGATTTTTCAGCAAGTCCAACACACCTCCAATACATATTTTCTTTGTTCCCCATCTCCGCACGATCCTTTTGTTATTCTTTTAACAATTGTTAAATTTAGAAATTTGCCAGAGTGCTCTCTTTGTTTTCTCTCGAGTTTATAACCAAATAGAAAAACCAATGATTTTACTTTAATGATTGATGCATCAAAGAATAAAGCCTTTTTCTCGAATATTTATGAGTAAATGATGATGATGATGATAATGATAATTAGATGCGAAGACGTCGGCTGGCGCGTTTAGCTGGATTAGAAACTAGTACTCCTCCTACAAATACAAATGGAGGCAATTCTCTGGGTTCACCGAGCACCCCAGGACCATCGAAGATCACTAGTCTAGCCAATATATCGCCAGTTCAGCAGCCTGGGGGACAGAATATCATCAATCAAACGCCCATGGAAACTGAGGAGAGCAGTGAGAAGCAGTCAAATAACTCGGGTATTGATGTGGATTCTGGAATTGAAAATATGGAGGTTGAGGAGTCTGATAGAAAAGATTCAGTGTCTAGATCGAGGGTTAGTGCTCAATTGCATATGCTTTTGTTATTAACACATTAATAGATTTTTAATGAATTATTTTTCTTCCTTAGACAACGAGTTCAAGCATCGAGGTCTCCCCAGACCAGATTTACACAGTAATATCCCGCGTTTTGTGCGTCTCATGGGGTGAGTCACTAGGGTCTAGGATATTACTTCCTCAGTTGGCATGCAGCATGGCCTCAGACAATCAGAGGCCTATGGATCCTGTCGAAATAATAAGCCAGAGCTTGATGGAGGTAATTCAGATGTTTACGAGAGAAGAGGATCCATTGAGAGGAGTGTCAATGGAGATAGTGTCAGATCGTGAGGATAGCCCCCACAGCCAATCAAGCCCACTGATGAGCCCAATAGACACTCTGCCATCGTGCTCACTAGCCAGTCTGCCCCTGCCGCCAGGAGAGAAAGGAGATAAACGGGAGAAATCCTTTCAATCAAAGAGCCTTCAATATCTCCTTGACTGCTACATTAGAGTTTCAGTTGAAGAGAGAAATCAGCCAAAACGTTCATCAGTCCCCCCGATATCAGAGGTTCTCTCCCGTCTCAGAGCCCAGTGTGTTCAGTATGCCAGTCTCGTCCTCCAGGGTATCCTTGATCCTCCATCAATTGATGGATCCTCAGCATCCAGTCCTCTCCTCATTCCTGTACTCTCCCAGAGCCTGCCCCGAGGCTTTCTCCACGAGCTTGTCGTCAGGACTCATTCCAATCCCCAGACCTTCAACAGAATTTTCACTCCTCTTCTCCAGGGGCTCTATTTATCTATGCAGCAGGGCACTCTTGTGGGAAACACCCATCGACGACCTGTACAGGCCCTTGAGGAGCTCATCGAGATCCGATGTGGTACCAATGGCAATAGCAGACCAATCTGCCGACTTATTACCCATCAAGTCCAGTTTCTCCCTGATTTTATGACCACTGCTATTGGAAGGGAGCTAGCTCGCACCTCGTTCCTCGGGCCCTTCCTCTCGGTCTCAGTGTTCGCTGAGGATCAGCCTAAAGTGGCTGAGAAATTTTTCAGTGGAAACCCGTCGAATGACAAGTCCATAAATCTAACACTCCAGCAGGAATTGGAGAGCATTCGTACTTCGTTCCACAAAATGTTGCATGCCATTTTGGCAACGTCAACCTGTCGTGATGCAACTCTTGCTTACCTTGCCGCTCTCCTACGCCATAACGAGAAGAGGGCTCAGATCCAATCGGAGGAGTTCAAACTCGCTGGGGATGGATTTATGCTGAATCTTTTATCAGTCTTACAAATGTTGTCTGTTAAAATAAAACTGGACACTGTAGACTCGCTTTATCCCTTTCACCCTTCGAGTTTTGTGGAAATTAAGAACGATACGAGATTGAAGCTGTCCTCCCAGGAGGTGACTGACTGGTTAACAGATCTCGAGAGGAGTCACAAGTGGACAGAAGCAAAATTTCCAACTCAGTGCTGGTTTCTCACACTTCATTGTCATCACGTTGCCCTACTTCCTGCTCTGCAGAAATACCAGAGAAAGCTGAGGGCCCTGAGGGACCTGCAAAAAATGTTGGACGAGCTCCAGGCGACTGAATCTCAATGGAAGGACACACCATTTGCAGCTCACAATAAAGAGCTCATCAAACGTTGGAAGCAACAGTTGAAACGTCTTGGAAAGTCAAAATCGTGTGCTGATGCTGGCCTCATTGATCCAGTCCTCATTAGGCGTTGTCTTCACTTTTACACTTCAGTGGCCGAAGTCCTTCTTGGCTTGCTAACGGATACGAAACCAGGAGAGCCCGTACCAGTTCTGCCCTTACCCAGAGACATTCCCAACAGATTCACAGCCCTTCCAGAGTGGTATGTCGAGGACATTGCAGAGTTTCTTCTTTTCGCACTGCAATTCAGTCCTGGAGTCGTTGCCAGCAATATGGATAACTCCCTTATCACTTGGCTGCTCGTTGTTATCTGCACTCCCCACTGCATAAGAAATCCCTACCTCATTGCCAAAATAATCGAGGTCCTCTTTGTGATCAATCCAAGCGTACAGGGCAGCACTGAAACCCTCCACGACCAGGTAATGTCTCATCCAATCTCGAGAACTTTGCTGGCATCCTACCTCATGAAATTCTACACAGACGTAGAAACCACTGGCTCCAGCTCTGAGTTCTATGACAAATTCTCCATTCGTTATCACATCAGCCTCATTCTCAAGTCCATGTGGGATAGTCCAGTGCACCGTGCCTCCATCGTAAATGAAAGTAACAATGGCAAACAGTTTGTCAAGTTCATCAATATGCTCATGAATGACACGACCTTTCTCTTGGACGAGAGCCTGGAGTCACTGAAGAGAATTCACGAGGTCCAGGAACTAATGTCTGATACAGCCGCGTGGTCTGCACTGTCGCAGGAGCAACAGCAGTCGAGGTCAAGGCAATTGTCTGCTGACGAACGCCAAGCCAGATCTTTTCTCACTCTTGCCAAAGAGACTGTTGCCATGTTTCATTATCTGACTGTCGATATCAAGGAGCCATTTCTGCGGCCTGAGCTCGTCGGTCGACTCAGTGCTATGTTGAATTTCAATCTGAAGCAATTGTGTGGCCCAAAGTGCAAAAACTTGAAAGTTAGAAAGCCACAGAAGTATGGCTGGGAGCCCAGGACACTTTTGGGACAGTTGGTGGACATCTATCTGCATCTTGACTGTGATAAGTTTGCTGCTGCACTGGCTAGTGACGAGAGATCATTCGGCAAAGGGCTTTTCACTGATGCTGCCACTAGACTCGGCAGATCTGCCATTAAAACTACTACGGAAATTGAACGGTTTATGGCACTTGCTGAACGAGCTGCTGTTATCGCTCATGATAATCGAGCCAGGGATGAGGATTATGGGGATGCACCTGATGAGTTTAAGGATCCACTAATGGACACGCTTATGGACGAGCCTGTCAAACTTCCGTCCGGAATTATCATGGATAAGGCTGTTATCATCAGGCACTTACTCAACAGCTCGACTGATCCATTTAGTCGACAGCCTCTCAGTGAGGATATGCTTACACCTGCATTGGATCTGAAAAAGAGAATAGCTGAGTGGAAACAGGAGAAAAAGAAGTCTGCTAACTTTTAAGTGGTACTAACTCGTTTGTAGAACGTTAAAAATATCAAAGTGGCATCATTTTGTTACTGCACAGTCAACGATTAATCAAGAAGGAAATTGAGATAACCATCAGTGCAATGATCTCCCAAGTGTGCTAATGTTGCGCTCAAATGAAAATTTGCAGTTCTTTTTGTACAATAATAATAAATGGACACAGACTGCAGCTAGCTAACTGCCAATAATCAATTTTTTTTTCAACAAAATTGAGCCAAGTCTAATGTAAATACGTGAGTAATCATTTGCTTATCGATCACTCATTGGTGTCAATCAATTTTCTTTTTTCTTTTCTTTTCTTTTATCTTCTTTTCCTTTCTTTTCTCTTCATTGTCAAATTGGAATTGTGAAGCTGTCGCGGGGTAAATTAAATCATTGTCACTTTCTATTGGAGCATTTGCATTTGTAACGTGAGTGATGTATAAATTTTAAAAATGTAAATGTTATTGACATTCGTGTGAATGGAGTAGCAAATGGAAAATTTTAGGAAACGATTGAGGAAAATTATTGGAAAATAATTTCAATGAGTATACAATTATGAGAGTTTATCTGCGTATCGGGGTCAAAATTCAGTGGCATTTCTTGACGTGTGATCTATGTTGGTACGACGTTGCCATAGTCCTCTGTAATGGTCTTCTTCAATAAACAAGGAATGAGTAATCATACTTTAGCATTCCTCATTGAATTTAATGCGATTGTAATTTTTTTCGTTCTAGCAGACATTTTTTTTTTTTTTTTTAGAAACTCAAACGTTTGTTATGTACGATTACTCTTCTCCCAGTGTAAATAATGTGAATGCGAGGAGGGAATTGATTCCCGTTCTAGCTAGTATCTTTATTTTCCTCTTTGTTTTCCTCAATTCATCATCATATAATCTTAATATTCGCTGTTGGCAATATATGTAACATCAGGATTCAGTTCTTCAAATCTCGTATGTACATATATTCGATTTTCATTTAACAGCGATTAATATTCATCGCGAATGATTAAAATTTTTTTCAACTCATTTGGTTGGAAGTATGGTGAAGTAGAGAAGAAGAGTAATAAATCAGCTATCATCATCTTATAGTACGTTTAAATGAATAATCTTCTAGATGTAAAAGTAATGTAAACAAAATAAAAAAATCATTTAAATTTTCCGGTGGTTGTTTTTTTCAGCTTCAACATATTTTTTATAAATATTCCCTTATATCATCAATTTGTAATTTTCAATTTTCTTGAAAATTGATGATTTTTGGTATTACAGAAGAGCCGATATGGTGAGTAGTGGGTGAGTAGTTATAAAAAAAAAAGTAAATAAATAAAATAAAATAAAAATGACGGGTGGGCGATGTACTAATTATAAATGGGAGAAGAAAATGATTGTTTGAAACGTAATCATTAACATACATACATGTACATACTACAGCAGCTATCTTGGGTTCTTTTGTAATTTGTAGACATGCCTGCAGACAGATGGCTCCTTGGGCATATTTAAAAAATCTGGCAACATTGAGGTATAACTCTCACACAAAATCCAACCTCAAATTATCAATTTTCGTCAGTTTAATAATGTAAATGATGTTGAAACAAGCTTTAAAAAATATATTTGGCCATGAGGATTTCAAGAGCGAAATCCAGGCACAAGCTACTGCAACAATCAACAACGGTAAAGCCTTCTAACAATATCCCTCTCATCATGTCAATCTTTTCACTCGCAACTATCGAATAAATCATAAATTTTCAGGAAAACAAGACGTTTACGTTTGTATGCCGACGGGTGGTGGAAAATCATTGTGTTTCCAATTACCAGCAGCTCTCAAAACAAATTCAATCACTCTAGTAATTTCTCCACTTTTAGCCCTTGTGAAAAATCAGGTGGATTTCCTCAACTCCAAGGGGATTAAAGCATGTGCCCTGAATTCGGCGACTCGTTCAAAGGATAAGAAAGCAATTCTGGAGGCTTTATTTTTAAAAAAATTATCAATAAAATTGCTCTATGTCACTCCTGAGATGTGCACGCAACAGCATTTTAAAGATTTGCTGGCAAGAATGCACAAGGCGAAGAAAATTTCACACATCGTGGTCGACGAGGCTCATTGTTTAAGTGAATGGGGCCATGACTTCAGGCCGAGCTATCGACAGTTGGGGAATCTGAGGGAAATACTTCCAGGTGTACCTATTGCAACATTTACAGCAACTGCAACAAAAGAGGTCGTTGACGACATTTTGAAGACCCTGAAAATGAATGCAATAAAATTATCCACACCTGTGTTCCGAGAGAATCTCTTCTACGATGTGTTCTTCCTCGATATCCTGCCAAATCCTGCGGAGCACCTCAAAAAATTCATAATTCAGTGCTTGGGTAGCCCAGATGAGAAGAACTGCGGAATCATCTACTGCAGGAAGAAAGAAACTACGGAGGAGTTGGCAAAGACACTCACCGAAGCTGGAATACCCACCCTGGCCTATCACGCTGGTAAATTATTGATCCCACAGAAAAATATAAAATCTCAATAATTTACAACTCCTTTCCCTAGGTCTCACCACCAAGAGCCGAGCGGAAGCTCAAGACAAGTGGACATTGGGCGAAGTGCCAGTAATTGCAGCAACCTGCAGCTTTGGAATGGGGGTGGACAAGGGATCAGTTAGGTTTGTATAATGTGAAATTCTGTGCCACAACCTCTGCCCCAAATCCCAGAATTTCGTTCCCGCAAATCCTCCATCTCTCAGTCCAATCGAGCGGCTTAATTGTAGATTGGTGGTCCATTGGACGGTGCCTTCGAGTATAGCTGCGTATTACCAGGAGTCTGGTAGAGCTGGTAGAGATGGCAGAGCTGCATCGTGCAGAATTTATTTCAGTAGGGACGAATACAAAGCTATTGATTATCTCACTAGAACCACTGAGCCAGGATCGACGCTGGATATTGCTAAAGAGAAGCACAAGAGTTTTGAAAAAATGGTGGCGTATTGTCTCGAGCCTAAGTGTCGGCATACTGTATTCTCAAAATACTTTGCCGATAGGCCACCCCAATGTAAAAAACGTTGTGACGTCTGTATTGATCAGCTGTTGATAAAAAATCGAATCGCTGATTTTAAGAGGAGTCAATCACTTAAGCCACAGCCGAATATCTCTCCTCTGGAAGGAATTGTCCTGCCTAAGTACGATAACCAGGAGGTGGAGGAGGGCAAGACACTATCAAGAGAGCAGCTGAGGGCAATGGAGAAGAAGGAGTCTAAGGATCTGATCGTTCAGCAATTCGCCCTGAGGAGGGGAAAGTTATGCACTGAGGAACTAATTAGAAAACAAAATCTTTACGATGCGAAAAAAGCTAAGGTGCTTGCCGCTGAAAGCACTGACAGGAAAGTCAAGGGCCTGACGGTCCAGAGCAGGGAGAACTGCCTTGGACAACTCACTGAGGCTCTCTTGCATAATTCCAAATTGTTTATGGAATCCTCGTCAGGTACTCTTCCAGAGGCTCGCGTCGAGCTGATCGCACGGAATGTCGAATACATTACCCTCTCGAAGACTAAGGTTGCGAATAAGTACAAGCTTGACATGTCACAGATCGTTGCTGCTGTGAAGAAGGCCACCAGGAATCAGCTGGTGTGCGATCATTTTCACGAGTTCCAGGATTCTGAGGGACAGGGGGATGATGAAGAAGGAAATAAGGAGAAATGTCGTACTAATAATTTTAAAACTGGTGGAGAAAATTTCAAATGTGAATTCCAGACAGTGTCGACTTCTCGTGATTCACAAATTAGTCAGAAGAGGGAGATTTCTCATTCCGGGAAGAGCGAGTCTGACCTAAGGCTCGATGACATCTCCACTTTTGAGAAAAACGTTCTTTGTGAATTTAGAAAGGCCTCGGAGTTGACTGGGACAAGTGGAGCAGGGACGAGTCACAAAATAATTAAGTCTGGATGCAGAAAAACCTCTCCAATCGCCACAGTCGCCATTAATGATGATAGTAGTTGCAAGGGCTCTGAAAATAAGGGGACAGGAAATGCAGAATTTACGGTAACGACAGAGCTGATTAATAATTTTATCAAAATAAAAGGTGAGACACTGAAAAAAAAACAGGATACTATTCGGAAATATTTAGTGAAGATTGAGAAAGCGCATCAATCGAATCCACTCGAGTCCTCTGATCCCCCAAAAAAATCGCACCCAGTAGATGACAATAAAAATAATAAACGAGCATTTGACAGCACAGTCGACGTATCCAGCGACAATATATCGCGCAAGATGTTTAAGCCTAATTCTAGAATATCGGGTAGCGATGGGATGGCGATGAAAAAAAAATTTGAGAAAACTGGAAATTTGAGTACTGCTGAAATCTTGACAAATTATCTTATGAAGTACTTTCCCTCCAAACACATCCCCGATAGAAAGAGCTTCATCAGAGTTCATGCAACTATTCATCACTTAATCACGCAGAAGAATATTATTGTTAAAGGAGAAATACAGACATTTGCTTGCAATTACCTGAAAAGTCTGTAAAGTCGATTTATGAATTATTTTATTTTTGTACCGCTTTCTAATGTATTTATTTATCTCGGAGAACGAATGGAGGTGCGTTGTAAGTGTATTTTTGCTTTATGGAGAAAAAAATTAAACACAATAAAAAATTGTGAGAACAAGAAAACTCAATGAGGAAATGAAAATATTTTCCTACTGATGAATGCGAAAAAGCATGAGATATATCTTGTAATTCTGTCCAAGCTAAATTTCGAAATGCTATGTTTACATTCCCAATAGCAAAGGCAAATAGCGAACGGAAATGTCCATTGCAACTGTCACACGTAAAAATACATTATTGCTGACACGAATTGTCGAACAAGTAGAAAGAAAGGGGAGATCGGGGTAGACAGTTGTCTGAGAGGACGACCGTGATCGTGTAAATTTCGACCTCCGTTGAAATTAGAAACAAACTGTGGACGGGCTGTCGAGGCCACACGCGGAAATAATTGGGGAATTATTGGCAAGACTTTTGTTTCGTGTATTAGAGACCAGTTACTCAGAAATTGGAAAGGGACTTGCCACGATAAGATACAACAACTGTGGGATACGTTGATATACCACCGAGTACCTCACCGGTCTCTAGAGATGTTGAGATCTAAACTTAGATCACTCCCAAATCTCCTCACGTTCGGTACACATCGAGCTTATTTCTCAGTGGTCCTCCTCGTTAAATCTCCAAGTCTCCCATTGCCTCTCGTTCCTGACACTAATCCGACAAATCACCTTGGTCGATCCATCCCAAGTTCACACCTTTTTCCTCACTTTATTTCTTTTTCTTTTCGGCCAAACATTTTTTGCACAATTGCCACTGTGAATTATTGTGAATAGCTGAACGAAATGGCATATAGTTGGGATAATCGTGTTAGTTTTATTGTCAAATTCCTATATGGTTAGTACTCGCAGCTGTCCATTTATATACTCTACATTATTTCTATCCAACGAATATTTTTTTACCTGTCAAAAAATTTAAATAGAATCCCTTAAAAGAAAAATAGCATGTAACGTACTTTGTCAGCTTTTTTCGGCCAATACCTAAGCTATGCATATATATATATATATATATATATATATATATATATATTTGTTTTAATTTAAATTTTGAAAATTGAAAGCCGAGAAAAAAGGGAAAAACGAAACTATCGATTTCTGGCTCATCTTAAGGGCCTAGAAAATGTCGTTGGAACAAGAACGATGAGAGATATTATGTATTATATATTGAGAATTATATTCATTTCTACAAACCTATGCAAAAAAAAATCAATTCATTTATCCACTCACTACCTCCCATCTTAAACCCACAAATATTTAAATAAAGTATTGGAAATTATTTTTTATATCAAAAGATAACATTCATAAGTGTAAGATAGGCACGCATAATTTTTATAAAAGGCGTTAGATTCATGTGCTGAATTTTCTTCATACATTTTTACATGAAATTTATTGCTAGATATCGATAACAATGGTGTTTTGGATCAGCACGACTTCGAATGTATGGCCCTGAAAATGACGCTTATCGAGGGAAAGGGGGATTTCAATTACAATCGGTATCAGGAGAATCTTCACATTATGCTCTCCCTTTGGGAGGAGATTGCAGAGCTTGCGGATTTCAATAAGGTACAGCTTGCAAATCGTTATTGACTTTCATTATTTAAACCGGTCTTTTTTTTTCGTTTTTTTTTTTTTTTTTTCATTGAAGGACGGAGTTGTCACTGTGGAGGAGTTTAAAGCGGCTGTTCAGAAGAGCTGCGTTGGACGGTCTTACCGCGATTTTCCACAGGCCATGAAAATGTTTATAGACAGTCACTTCAAACTGGTGGATATCAATGGTCAGGTTCATGCAATTTTTCTCTACAATTCGTCAATTGATGGAAAATCCATCTGTTGAATATGCGGGAATTTGCCAATGAATTTGTAGTTGTTCTGGAAGAACTTAAAAATTGGCAATCGAGTGTGTCATGTTTTTTTTTATAGCATGCTAAAATTGCAGACGATGGTGTAATAGCAGCGGATGAATTTCGATACAACTGCGTGAGCAGAATTCCAGTGGACAGTGTCGACGTCCTCGATGAGGCATATCAAAATTTGCTGACGGACGACGACCGGAAACGTGGTGGGCTGACGTTATCGCGTTACCAAGAGCTCTACGCACAGTTCCTGGGGAATCCCGACGAGAACTGTCCCGCAGTGCACTTATTCGGCCCTTTACGAGAATCCTGTTAATCTCTTATATCCTACTTGTTACTGAATACTCACACAATCGAAAAATCCATATCCATATGTACAAAAAACGATGAATTCGATAGAAATTAAATTAGAATCTCAATTTACTATTTTCACAATAAATAAAGAAATTAACATTTGTGTCACCGCAATTTGATATGCCTTTTATTTATTTTTCACACTATGTACAGAATTACAATTCTTATTAAATTTCCTCAATTTTCAACAAAAAATTTTCAGCTATAGAAGTCACACTGTGGCAATTGCCTTACCCAAACGACTAAAATCAACAATAACCAGACAATATCATTTTCAGTGACGATAATATAATGATTAAATTACAATTCTATGCCCACAAATACCCCTAGCACAATTTTTCATTAATCCATACCCAAAATCGCGTATTTTGTTCATTTTATTAAGAATAAAATGTATTCTTTAAATTTATTTTTTATCTTCTTGAAATGAGTTTTGTATAAAAAGTACGTTCTTTATAGTACAAAATTATTGGAGTTTTTCCAGTTTAGTATCGGTGAATTTTATATAATGAAAATGAATATTATTAACACAGCATGTATCTCGATCACGATAATGGGGGCTTTATATTCCAATTAAATGAGAGGATGAATTGAGATGTCTGTGTCTATTCAATAACTAAGTGATACATTGAAAATCAATAGCTTTTGAGATTCACTCTATCTTCACTTTATCACTTCGCTATTGAATTGTGTGAATTATAAACACCTTGAGTTCTTCAATATAGAAATAATCGAAAAAATATTGCCATTTTCGCGTAATTGGATTATTGCATGACTGTTTTTCCATTGAACAACAATATAAAAATATCAAATACGTATGTATTTTAGGTTCAATTTTCATACACCACAATAAGAAAATCCCATACAAAATTCCAATTATGAGATTCGTAATTTAGACCTATAATTGCTGAAATGTCAATAGGAAATGCTATTTCCTGGTAAATGATAGTGATGCAACGTTCGATTAAATGCAAGCGGAAAAGTATATATTTGACAAATAAAAATCCACAACAATTTCAATATAATTCAATTCCCTAATTTTTCTTCAATCCGCAATACTTAGTAATACTGAGCAACTCGTTTCCAGAGAAGGTTCATTTTTTTAATAGCATCCGTAATGAAAGCGCCATAATTTTAATGATTGCAAGCGATTCAAAAATTGTTACCCCGGACTAACGTCAGAGATGATTCATCGTTTATCTCATGAGATGTGAAATGAAATGATTTTTCTAGTCGGAATATATTCATATGGAATTTGATGTGTATACCATTATCGTGAACACAGTTTGATAAACCATTATTTTGACAATAAATTACAAAGACGAAAATATATATTTATAGGAATTTGCGAAGGCATTGGCCAATCAAAACAGACGCTTGAAGATTTATTCAATTGAAGGAATTTAGTCGAAAAAAAATGTCTGTTTTGTCCCACCTTTCCTCCAATTGTTTAATTTACCTTCTATTGTGACAACTTCAATTTCTACCTAGTATCATCGCTGTTTATACTGGTGTAGGAAGTTGTTGGGTTCGAAATATTCTGAACAAGAGTAGTCGTGGAGTCAACGAGTGAGCGCCCTGCGATCTCGTTGACGCCTCCATTTGGTTGGAGATCACCTCTGTTTCGCCGGCGGGACATCACGCCTGAATTCCCAAAAAAAAATACCCAGTAATTTCACAATCTCACTTGAACAACTAACGTGTTAGTATCTCCACAGATTGCTAAACGCTCAAGAGTCATGATGAAAAATAAATAAATTTCAATGACAAATATATTGATTAATATGTATAAATAATTTAAAAAAAAAAAAAAAAAAAACTATCCATTTCGAAGAGGAACTCAAAAAAAGTTGTTCCATGTTTTCCCCTAGAATGAATAGTTTCTGAGATAAATCAATACTTTAGTTTGTAATGAATCCACCGTGACTGTATAAAAAATCAAAGCCAGTGTGTAAATAATAAAAAGAATAATAATAATAGAGGGCAATAGGCTTGCCTACCTATCTATCACAATCGAGAGCTCGGAATGTACTTGTGATGGGTGTAGTGGGTGTATTTGTATTGCTTACTCGATGATTTAATGAGGTTTCTTGCACGTTGTCCAGATTTCCGCGCATGGCTCTCCGGTGATGGGCTAACTTCTCTCGATTCATAGGTGAGCCTGGAACCGATCGATTTTCAAACGGTCAACTCATTTCTGGCTCGATCCAATTATCATCATCGATGTTTAAACAAAATCATTACGTATATGAAAACACCTCATATCTGTATTTATTATTGGAAACAGCCATTACACCCGTCATAAAAGATCTTTTATTGAATGTGTCATTGAATTTACACTAGCCCGCGTGAATTTATTATTGTCGAGCTGGGCGTTTAAACAATCAGTGGATCTTTCAATAACAAGCGAGAACGATTCGACCTTACCTATATAACTCAGGAGAACTGGAAGGAATATGAGACCATGAGCTGCACCAAACAGCACGATTGCCAGATACATTCTGAAGTAGAATACCTGAGACGTATACCAATAAATATATTTAGTTGTGAGCCAATATAGGTCTTGTGGATGACAGGCGTCAGTGTGTGTTAGCATTCATTCCATCGTTACTATTTTTCACTTTGAAATAAAATCGAGTTTTCGTATAACATCGGGGAGAAAATAATATTTCCAACTCACTTTGAATATTTGGCTCTTAGCAAAACCGAGAACGATTATTCCACCGAATTTAGTGAGAGTTATTCCACTGAACACAGAGCTTCCCATGTTCGTTACAGCATCAGCCACTCTTTCTATTCTTGTCGCTCTGACGGACATTGAAAACGAGTGAACCAGGTGACTGCAAAATTCTACAGAGATACCAACAGCCTGCAAGTCGATTAATTATTAATAATCAATTATTAATTAATTTAATTTTTGGAAAATTCATCGTTTAAAGTCAGTAGCTAAGTGGTGAAATGATATTGAAACTGATGATAATTGTCAATGACTCACCATAACAAGATTAACCAGGGATACGGCATTGAGAGTGATATGCCACCAGTACATGAGGCCCCCAATATTAACCAAAATCATGGTAATGGTAATTACCACGACGAACGAGGAGAAAATGTCCAATCCCATGAGGAAGTACGTCACCAAAAATATTGCAAGGAGAGAAATTCCCAGGCTCTTCAACGTATCAGGCCACATTGTCAAATATTGCTCATAGAACACATAAAATACACTGTAAGGAAAGACCTCAGTCCTCTCAGTGCGGTTGGCTGCCTCTAAATGGCTATTTATCATATTGGTAATATTAGCTGATATTTTTCTGGCCGCCCTCATAGACTCATAATAGTCAGCAGAGGTCTTCAGGATCGAGTGATAAGTCATAAAGTACGAGGCTCCAACGTGCGACAAATTAGTAGTGGGATTTAATTGGTAATTGACCCCTTGCCCATAGGCAGCATGTCCAGCCTTCACACATTGATCATTGGGATTGTCATTCAAAAAATAAGACACATATTTCTCGAAAGACACTTGATCAGGTCTGCCAAATTTATTCGTACGTTTTGGACAGTTGAGGCACCTCATATTCTCATGTGGACAGAAGGAATTATTCTGTGGGAAGTACTTACAGCAGTTGTCAGCCTGACTCCAGTCAATGTAGTCGTCTAGCCAAGAGCTCGCTGGCTTAGCTACATACGTAATATTGGGTTGCTGAGCTGCAATGAATACCTGAGTCGATAGGGAATCAGAGTTGCACCACTGACCACCACAAACTAAATTCTGTGTCCTTGTGTCTGAATAATTCAATCCCTCTTTAACAACGAAGTACATTGGAGGCCCAATGGAGAGATACTCATTCAGTGACTTGAAATATTTCAAGACAAAACTGTCCTCTGGCATGGAGAGCTCTTGGTCGAGTCCAATTTCAATATGAGGCACCACTGCTATGCTAGTACACAGCCAACCGAAGAAAATCACCATTACTCCAGCACGCACCCATTTGTGCAGCAAAAATGGAACATAAGCAAGTTTAAAGATTTTGTATAAAACCCCATCAACAAATTCTTCCCCACTGTCCTTCTTAGATCCCCGAATCCAACAACAGATATCGAATCTGTTTCCAGAGTGTCTGAGGGTGTCCAGAGTTAAGAGGCTGACGAAGCACGTTATCTGGAGTAAAAAATCAAAAAGGAGAGCCATCCCGGCGTAGAGGGCAAAGGCCTTGACAGCAGGCATGTCCGAGAGACCCCCCAGGAAGAAGCAACAGCTCTCTGAGACACTTGTCAGAAGCATACTGGGTCCCACCTGTCCCAGAGTACGTCCTATGTGCTCTGGAATGGACTCGTTGGGCCTCCTGCCCTCCCTCTGGTGAGTCTGGACAAGGATGAAAACGTTATCGACCCCCACAGCCAGTACCAAAAATGGAATGACTTCGATGATGATCAAAGTGGCTGGCAGTCCAATGAACCCAAATAATCCCACAGAGCATATAACTGATGTTAAAACTATGAGAACTCCTCCTAAACCCAGGGTGATTTTGGAATCGATGAGCAATCGTCCGCAGGACTTCATCTGCCCCAAAGAAACAGTGATGTAGGCAAACATAATGATGTAGGAGACGAGAATCGTCGATATGTCAGACTGTGATTCTCTGTAAAGCTCGTCCTCTATAGATCTCTCTGATGTGAATGCAACGTCCATATAAATTGGTTTTTTCGTGGCTGCCCAATGCTTCATGTACTCGATGTAGCTTTTCTCCCACTCCATTGCAGGCTGGAGCTTCGATTTATTGTGATAGTTGTTAACGAGGAAGGTCAGAACAATAGCAGTTGCTTTCTCGTAATGGGGATCTTTTAGAGATTGTCCTGGTTTGAGAAATCCACCCACTGCAATAGCTGGCTCTATGGGTCCTCCATAGGGTGCAAGGCATTCTGAATTGTATGGATTACTCGTACACGTTTTAAAGTGATCGAGATACGTCGTTACGTAGCCGTGCTCCTTTATGGTTTTGTTGAATCTCTTCATGCTATTGCCCCAATAACCCCAGACACTCTGGATTGTGCATTTTTCGACTGTTGGAGCCACTGTGAAGGAATTTGTTAGTGGGGCGAAACAGATATCGGCTAAAGTGTAGTTGCTTTCAGTCTTGATTGCTTTGATATCCTCCTGGAGTTCGAGAATGGTCGTAAGGAACTCTCGATGGAATACTGGGCCAAAGGTGATTAAGCCATCAGATGTGTTGTGGATTATATTAGGTAGGCCCACAGCGGAGATTATTATCTGCTCGTTTCTGTAGAAAGGCTCGAAGTGACTATCGAAGTACTGTCGCTCCATTCGAGCTCTCGAAGTCGCTGACGCCCAGAGCTCTACAGGGTCTGTTGTTACATGAGTGTACCTGATGCCACAACCGAGGACGACGATTATACAGGCACCCACCAAGAGAACCTCCACCGGATGTTTGGCGCAGAAGGTGCCCCACGCACAGAAAAACTCCTGGAGGAACTTGTCAGTATTCGCTCCAAGTTTTTCAACCACTGTTGATTCCTCCTCTTGAAGGCCATTTGGTAGGTCGTCTGCAGAGGTAACACCTACAGGATGTTTCCAATTAGGAGGATATATCGTTGAGATAAGCACATATGCCAAGCAGAAATAACAACACGTGGGCTGTACGCGATGTGTAATCAAGGGGACTGCAATGATTTTCCATTGCTTCCATTTGACTACGTGATGAGAAAATGGTAAATTATTTGATGGATCAAGGGGCAATAACTCGATGAAAATTCACCTAATTTCTCGAGGTATCACCCCTCGCAAAACATGTAAACAGACAAACATCAAGTGGTGCTGAAAATAAATAATGTAAAAATTTGATAGACAATTAACAAACAAAACAGAATCAAGTACGAAAAGTGCTGTGAGTGGATCACGCAGGGGGAATAACAAGCAGTTAGTGACAATTATAGAAGCAAAAGTAATATTTGATGTATAAATAGAACAATGAGAGAGTGAAGCATCGAGGAAACATACTGGATCTTTTAGACTGCAGTGGGCTGTCCTCCTGATCAGCAGCCAGGGCAATACGTGCACCATCTCCAGGGTGATGTAAACCAGCGGTGAGACGTCTACCCACCTGTCTCCCTACTTCCTCGCCCCTTGCAACTACACACGCACCATAAAACATTTGTTTTTTTTTTTCGTTTTCTCCTATTTGTTTTTTCTTTTTTCTTTTTTCTTTTTGTTTTTGTTTTTGATGTTGTTGTTGTTGTTGTAGTTTTAATGAATAAAATTGTGTGAATTAGATCTAGGCGAATTGGAATGTGTGAATAATAATGTATATATCGTATTTGTGCCACAACTGCTAGGGGGTTGGGCTATGGTATTAATAACAATGGAGGTCTGCTCCAAAAATTTAAATAAACAGTAAGTACGCAAATAACGCAGGATAATCAGTATTTAGTCATTTGAATGAGACCACCGCAGCTTCAGGCTTCCAGTGAAATAAGAATATTTAAAAATGCCAATGTATCCCAGCGACGATGATAAAATCTCGGTTGAATATATGAGTTGCGTGAATAAATGAAAATCCTCACTGTGGAATTTTTTTGGTCACTCGAAACACTCGTAGATTTTATCGATCCCTTACCTATTTTCTTGCGGTTGGTGAAGCAAACGATCGATAGGAGGAAGAGAGATGTTCCCATAATGAAGGTAATGATCATTGTGACTGCGTAGCCGTCGTGACCGATGAGGGTAAAGGGTTGGGGTGGCAGGGGGGCTGGCGGAGGCACAGGACAGCTCTCTTCGCAGTCGACACAGCTGCAGGCGGCTGTTGTAGACTGATATGATCAAATTACCATGAATTTTTCATTAATCATCTCAATTATACTTATTGACAGTTTCATAAAGGAAAATAGCATTCAGAATAACACTTTAGATGAGCTGAATTTGATATTTACTAAAAATTATAATAATAATTAGAGGTAATTACGTTGTATGGTTTGCTGCAGGGTGTAATATCGGGATCCAGTGGAGTGAAATTGCCAACTTTCTCGTCACTTCCAATGTAATCGATTTGAAATGGTACATAGATATTATCAGTAGCATCACCCATAAATTTAAACCACCTTTCGGGAGTGCAATGACTGGATCCCCAATCTCCGCACATGAGGTCGAAGGCCAGCTGACCGGTGCTGGGAACTGACACTTTGTTACATGATTTATAAGTCCCCTGTAGATACCTATTAGTGATGTACATATTGATCCCATCGATGTACGTGTTGTTAGGTCCAAATTGAGTTATATTCATGAATTCATTTTGACGGGGACTGCACGTAAATTCACAGAAATGTTTAACCAAATTTCCGAGACAACTAGGACAACGAGCAAGTAAATTAGCAGCTAAGAGAATATTGTTGTCGAGAATTTCGAGTTGCTCGGAGTCACAGCATGTATTAATAGCTTGACCTGGTGCCTTCATCATGTGGGGACAGTGTTTTGCTAGGAAACCCTGACCCCTGGTGTCCAAGGGTTTAGCAGTGCCGTTGTAGGGGCAGTACTTGACGTGACCGAGCTCGTCTTTGAAGCAAGTTCCGTACCAGATGCAGTGGCCATCGCCCTTTATAACCTGATGAAAAAATGGCAAATTGCAAATGCTTTCCACCGGCTTCCAGCCACTCCGGATTACTAATGACTAATTAGCTGCTAGTGAGTCATCGATAAAATGAGCTTGATAAATCTATTGGCATGAATATCCTCAACACCAACGTTTTTCGTGATAATTTGTTTATCGATATTTCTTGTGATTGATTGATAAAAACAGTAATTAGAAAATTTTTTGTTCGCCAACGGTATCGATTAGGTGGTTTAGTGACTAGGAAGAGTTAAAAGTATGGGATCAAGGCCGAGTAATCTTTACACCTTTGATTCAATTCGACCCCGTCACGTATTTCCAGTTCCATTTTCCAAACAGTTAACATTGACCGATTCAAGTGTCCAAGGCATGCGAAGCCGCCAAAGAAGATACGTAGAAGGACGGATTATTAAATTAGACACAAACGTCTTGTCAGCGATTCATCGGTGTGACGTTGGGCCCGGGTAAATATTATTAATTAAAGGTGTTAGTCAACTGGGGAGGGCTGAAGAGAATTAATCCTCTCCACTAAAATTTCATAGGATTTTTTTTTTTAATTTCAATTACGGAATTGTGCTCACCGTAACTGCTGCAATGGAGAACAGAATCAGCAATAATGACGCTTTTATCGATGACATTCCAGAGCACACAGTCATAGTACCTATGGCTGTCGACTCTGATTTAAATAAATATTGATGGTTAAACTAGGAAATAACTATCACAAGTCACTGACTGTTGAGTGGATTGGGCAATTGTTTATTATTCGTAGCATTAATCTCATCTATTGTTTGGTTTTGGGGGGAATTTATGGGATATGTTTTCACTGCTAAGTGAGAAATGAAAACTGACGAAAAATTATTACTGATGGCTGTCGTCCACTTCTCCCTACTCCACCCTGAGTTTTATGGACTAGTGCGCATGCCTCAAGTGTCAGGAGGTACGGAGATGACGGAGATAGCGGAGATTGACGAAGGTGAACGAACCACCGATGTATGACATATCAAAACGGCATTTGTATTATTCGACTTTAACCCGATGATTCATTTATTCTATTTCGTCATTTTGCCTTAATTGCTGCTTATTGAAGGACTTAACGAGATGTAATATCGAGAAATCTTGTAAGTCAATTATTAGACAATGAGCTGTGTCTGATAACTGGATTTATTTTAAATTGAATTATATTTCATTTTATTTATTCTGTCTATTCTATAAAAAAAAAAAAAAATCCCGTCCTTATTTTTCTTATCAAGAGGACATGATGATCGGAATTGATCTAGGCCAGAATATGATTAAATGGCTTTCTTTACTCTTTGGCATAATTAAACAGTTCACTTTATTAAATTATTGACAAATTTTTACTCAATAGTACGAAGATTTATATAAAATCTAATTTTTTTTCCATGGAATTTGACCAAGTTATTTAGTAGTTGATTCGACTTAATATGAATTCGTTTCAAAGGGAACTTAAAAAGTGGCAGTGATTGCTACAATTTAGAAAGAATTTTCTTGAAATGGAAAAGCGTTTAACATTTAAATATTATCGTTTTTCATTCTGTACAATGTAGGGAAGGAAGTAGTGAATGGATGAAAAAAGGCATAGCATTACATTCATACTTTTTTACTAGCGTAATGCTCAATGGGTCGGACAAATTGCAATTTATGCGGATAAACATCGTGCAAGAGAGCCTCCAGGATGATATGTGTTATGAGCGCAGTGAGACCCCAAATTTTGTGGCCAGCAACGGAATAAGTTGGTAGTGTATAATTATTACGAAACTGTGTAAAACCCCAATGATTAGGATCACATAACGATTGTAAACTGACGACGAATGCCTTCTCAACCTCGTGAGGATTGAATTGCAATTGTTGGGGATCGACGTGACCGATATAGCCCAATACTGGCATAACGTGAACATGTTTTCGTCCAACAATATTTGCCCTTGACCAGACGTCCACTGAGTTTTTTGGGATGTTCAGCTCCTCCCAGGTCTCTCGCAGAGCGGTTTCTTCGAAACTATTATCGCTATGGTCTCGCATTCCACCGGGAAAGGATACCTCTCCTTTATTCTGACTGAGTTTTGTTGATCTCAAGGTGTATAGGAGACCCATTTCATCGTTGTGGATGCAGAGAGGAACCAGAACTGCCGCTGTTCTCGCCGCCTCCGAGTGGCCACTTTTCATTACTGGACACTTTTGCAATCTCTTTATACATTCATTTCGGCTTTCTGTACTGAGGATCACCTCCGAATTAAAACGATCGATTGCAGCTGGAGTCTTCTTGCCTTGATTACTCAGATTTTGCGCCAGTTGAGCAATCTGAAATTGGTTTTTTCTTTCACAAATTCTGCGCTTAGTGAAATATTCCGACTAATTATTTTTATTTCATTTATTATCAAAAATTAACAGGAAAAAATAAATTAATTTTTCCTGTCAATTTGAAAATTCTAATTATATATATGCATGAATGAAATTCCGGCGGAGTTTGTAGATGAGTTAGAAATCTGATTTATCAACGATTTCACAATCGCTTGAATAACAGATATATATGTTTTGATCTTATCGATATAAAAAAATTACTTACAACAGTACTCCGCTGCCGCAAGAAATATCTGAATGCATTGTATTTATTAATTGCCATGGACCCCCTGGGATGTAGAATCAATTAAAGTAGAGGGGTAAAAATGAAAAAAAAAAACCGCACACGTGAAAGACTGATGACACGAACGTCAAAAATTTTGCAAAACCAAATAGCTATTTTAGGGCATTGGTAATGTTATAGTGGAAGAAATAATCCCTGTGAAAAATGGAAGGCTATCGAACATCAGCGAACCTGGTGGAAGGTTCAAGCCTCAATCCTTCTTTACACATTGTTAATTATTTGTTGACGATTGACAGTTAGCTCGTCACGTCATCAAAATTTCAGGGAATTTGTTTATTCTAATGAATGGACAAGGTATGAAGACGTGCGATGGTCTCGACAGCGGCTAAGGATCTCCTGGCAACTTCGGCCTCTATTTGCACAGCTTTACAGTTTTTAGCTGGCACGTAAGTGAAAATAACCCTAATTATGCCCCTAATTACTCGTGGGCGGTGTTTTTATTAGTGTTATTTGCAGACTTGTGTGCAGAAAATTCATAAAAAATGGAACAACTGGAGACGCATCTGCCCTTGCCTTCATTACGTGTCTGATGTCGTGAGTAGATTTAATAAGTAATCAGCCTGTTGAAAAATATAATTATTTCGGAGATATTTCTCGAAAATTACGAGAGTTACTGATTTGATTATTGTATTCACAGGTGTAGCTTTTGGCTTCGATATGGGCAGATGATTGGCGACTTCTTCGTTGTCTGCGTCAATATATTCGGGGCTCTTCTACAAATATTCTACATTGTAATTTTTGCATTATTCAGTGTTAAGAAGGCGTTGATTTTGAAGCAATTCGTGGGGGCTATTCTGTTTATTTCGGGAGTTTATGCGTACAGTATTGTTCACACAGACAGGATAAAAGCTACTGATCACATTGGCTTTCTCAGCTGCAGTCTCACTATTTTATTCTTCGCCTCCCCCTTGACTATGCTGGTAATCATTTGATAACCCTCTTTTTTAAATCTCCAAATAATTTAATTCATCTCCTTTCAGGTGCATGTAATCAAGGAAAAGAATACCGACAGTCTACCGTTTCCTGTGATAGTGGCCTCATTTGTCGTCTCCTGCCAGTGGTTTGTCTACGGAACTCTGTTAGAAGATCCCTTCATGGAGATACCCAACTTCATGGGATGCATTCTCTCTGCATTTCAACTATCACTATTTGTTATTTATCCAGGAAAAAAACAGAATGCTGCGCATTTTATATAAGAAGACTATCTGAAATATTTTATGATTGACTGACTGCTTGACTAACCAATAAATGAAATATTGGTTATATCTTCTAAATCTGTCTCTATATATTCTATTCAATCTTGATGAAATATATATTTTCCAAGTTGACTCAACCAGAGAATATGCATGCCTTACGCGAACAAACTGAATTTGACAATTGATGTGACAATTGAGGAGGTATTCACTGGAATTAAAAAATTCGAAATTTAAAAAAATGTAGTGTACTATATACTATAGTGCAATGGACGAAGCTGTATATATTATAGATAAAAAAATTCGAAGCGCTCCGGAGCGGAGTCGCCGTTTCGTGTGGACTTGCCTGAAGGTGTTAAAAGTCTGATGCAATTCACATCGTGCTTTTCCATGTCCCTGCGGCATTCTAAACCTCTGTGAAGTGTCCTGTGTCATACGATATCAGTTAATTAATCATCAGTTTACTTACTCATTGCAAAATCACGATGTCCGAGGAAGATAACGTAAGTGTATGGAGACTGGATTAATTTCGGAGCGGTGTTGGTGAGGTTTTTGAGGATTGATCCTCGATGGGAGTTCAATTGTCAATCGAACCTCGAGCATGTCTATAACCCAATAACCCAAGGTTTGTGCTGGCAGAGCGACTACAGGCGAATCGGTGATTTATTTGCAGGTGTTCGACCCGACCCTCAAGAAAAAGAAGAAAAAGAAGAAGACGACTTTCGACCTGGACGCAGCAATGACCGACGGGGGCAGTGGCAACGAGGCGCCTGAAGGCACTGGTGATAAGGAAAACCAGGAGCCAGAACAGCACCAGCTCGAGGATGATGATCCCCTCGATCTGGAGAGCTTCGGCAAGAAGAAGAAGAAGAAAAAGAAGGCCTTCAATCTGGAGGAGCTGGAGACTGCTCTACCTGATAACAAGAAAGAGGTAAAAAAAATTGAGCAAAACGAAAACTCTACGGCTAATCTGGTGTAAAAATAATTCATTAATTCATTAATTAATTTAGGATTTAGCAGAATCACGAACAGAAGAGATAGCAGTCGACGATATGGATCTCGACATGGACTTCTCGAAATCGAAAAAGAAAAAGAAGAAAAAGAAGGATCTCGATGAACTTGTCGCCGAAGAGAAGGAGAGAAAGGAGAATGAGGACAAGGAAAATGGTATGTATCCTCTCGTTAATGACTCATGGATGTTTTGAGGCTATTTACGTGGCGTATTATTTGTTAACATGCTGCACTAATCCTGAGCGAAGTGCAGAGTACGGTAAGAATTGAATGGGGTAGGGAATAAGATGTAATGCTCGTTATGATGGAATCATCATGGGATGAAGGCAAAAATGAACACTTCACCTTTTTTTATTCATAATTTTTTGAAGGATAAAACGATCTAATGGTGGACCTTAGCTGTCGAAAAAAAAAAAAAAAAATGCAGGGTGTTCATTTTTCCCTAAAACTGCAATTTCAGGATCGGACATAATTCGATTCTTTTATTTTAGTCGAGGACACCAGTCTCTGGATCGGATCAGACAGAGACTACACGTACGATGAGCTGCTATTGCGAGTATTTAATATCATGAGGGAAAAGAATCCCGATATGGTGGCCGGTAAGAAACAGAAATTTGTGATGCGTCCTCCACAGGTCGTTCGTATTGGTACGAAGAAAACATCATTTGCCAATTTCACTGAAGTGAGTAAAATTCAAATTACAAACAGCGAAAAAGTATGGTTCTTCAATATGATAATTTATTGCAATTGTTGACAGATTTGCAAGACTCTTCATAGACAACCGAAGCATCTATTGGATTTCCTTCTGGCTGAATTGGGTACGAGTGGCTCGGTGGATGGTAATAGCCAGCTTATAATCAAAGGAAGATTCCAGCAGAAACAAATAGAAAATGTATTGAGACGTTACATCAAAGAATACGTAACGTGTCACACCTGTCGATCTCCAGATACTATCCTGCAGAAAGATACTAGGCTCTTTTTCCTTCAATGTGAAACGTGTGGATCGAGGTGTTCAGTAGCTAGCATAAAATCCGGTTTCCAGGCTGTCACTGGAAAGCGTGCAGCTATTCGTGCAAAAACAGCTTGAAGATTTTTGTATATTTTACACTCAACTATCGAAATCTCCATTGTAAAACAATTCCCACGAGAAACCAATCTGTATCATCGGTAATAAATTACTCCACGAATTATCTCAACATAAATCTATCACCCTTAATGACTAAATAATTATTTTATTCATTTCATTTCTTTAATAAACTTCAATCCAATATCTGTCAACAATAATGAATACAAAATCACTAATATACAATTTCATAAAAAAAAAAAAAAATCCATTAATTAAAGTATTCATCACTTGGACGAGGAAGAAATTGTGGTAATAGAGATGTGTACGAGTAGAGTGGCAAGTTCCAGGTCCTCGCTGTACTGATTCTTCAGTGGAACACTTCTATACCCAGTCCTTAAGCACTGGACCTGAAAAAATAATTAATTTATTCCAATAGACTCTTCGGGTGAATAATATTTTTAGCGAAAAAATTAAAAAAATAAAATAAAAACCCACCGGATAGGTGGCCTGTCCTAGGAAATTGCAGTCCCCGAAGACATCCTCGTCCTGCACGAGAAACCTCAGCAGGGCGAAATTCGGATTGACAACATCAAACTCACAGGCTTCATTCCACATGGGATTGAAGCCATTATCGGAGATGGTTTTAGTGGTAAGTTTGGTGCCACTGTCGTACTCAGCCCCCAGAACCTCGACCTCGACATAAGGACTGGCTGTACCTCTCCCCTGCTTGTGAAGATGTCTGGCCCCAATAATCTTTAGATGAAACCTCAAGATGTCCACCCCTCTCAAGGTTCTTTTATCACCGGTGATGTAGCCCTCCTGCATCATAAACTCAGGCTTGAGAACGTAACCACAGCTTCCATTCTCCCTGAATTTCGCCTGATTCAGCTGCATCGCCTTGTCCCCAGTCTGATAATTCAGAGCCACCATCTGGCATCCAGCATTCCAGTAAGGCACAGGATTATAATTGGAGGAATCAATCCTCTGTCCTTTTGGGTATACCCTGCTGAACTGAATCTGGTGATATTTTAAGAAGAAAGCCTGCTCTTGCTGGCAAATAAGCTTCTCCGCCTTTGTTTCAGGGAAGCTGCTCATCTCCTGGAAGACAAAGCCCTTCGTCACCCTTTCCATGTCAAACGCCACAGACCTGCAGTAAATAATGAGATTGGACATCTCCTTGGCAATCCTTAGAGCCCTCTCGATCTCCTTATTCTGGTTTTCTCTGACATTGGCATGCTGTGCAGTCTCCTTAATAGCCCCGACCCACTCGAGAGCAATATCCTTGGATGGTGTGCAGGCCTCAAAAACAGAACACATATTAGGATTTTGAATCTTGATGCTCCACTCGAGTCCAGGCCTATCAGCCACAGCAATTTCCACTACAGCCCCAGTTATGTCTAACGCTCCCTTCTGGAGGTGTCCAAGGAGCATCGCCTCAGTTGGATCGAGATGCTGTTGTTCGCCCTCGATGCCCTCGACACAATCAATCTCCTCCACATAATTCGCTGGAAACCAGTGCTGTTTCTTCCCCCCATAATCCCCTCGCCACCAGCCACCCTCCTGGCGGTGAACATTCGTGATGATAGCATGTTTAACTAGAGTAAGTTCATCTTCCCTCCTGGCTTTGTAATCATAAATAGCCTTGACAGTGACTTTGGAGAGAAAAGCAGCAGGATCCATATAGCCAGGTAAATCATAATCATTCTCATCCTCGTCAGGCACCTGATTGAGACCATCAATTGAGCTTAGGACATTTGCTATAATCTCCGAGCTGATTGGAAAAGCCAGTCTGACTTTCTTGTACAGAGGATGACGCTCATAGTAACTCACCAGCTCCACAAGACTCTCAAATTGAATGGAGCCCACTGTATACAGCCTTCCCTCAAATTTAATTCTACAGTGTTTAATCTTATTCTCAGCCCTGAACGATATAGCGTACGTTGTATAGCTATTGTTATTGTCCTTCTCACTGGATCTTACGAGAAAAGCACCATTTGTTGGTATTCTCTTGAGAACATCCTCAGCAATTGTTCTGGTGCATTGGCTGTGCCACCATTCTTTCTCCTCATGCTTGCAGGGCTGGGGTACCGGTTCCCTCAGGGTTATCAGAAACTCCTGGCTCCTCAGTGGATGATTTCTGTAATGAGTTATCAGGGAATAGAGACTGTCAAAACAAACGCTGTCGATGAGATAGTACTGAGTCTGGCCCATGCTCTGCTTCAACTTAATCCTGCAGTGATTGACCTTTCCCTTTCTCCAGAATGATAAACAGTAATCTCCCACAAAGGTTACACACTGCCTAACGAGAAACGTGCCGTCCCCCAGGTGGGAGTACCTCCTGAGAAGTTCTTCAGCCTCTCCCCTTCCACTTGCCAACTTGCCATGGAACCACTTCTCTCCATAATGGAGTTCGTCATTGGGAATTGAGTGGCCGTTGATCCTTCTCGTCCTCGTGATGTTGTTGAAACTCCTCGTGTCCGAGGTGAAAGATCCCTCCCTGTTCTCATCAGTCTCATTATCCTCCTCCTCGACGTCCTCCACCTCATGACTTTGGGTAAATGTGTCTGTGTAGTACAAATGCTGCTTGGTCAGTATGAAGAAGTGTGGATACCACTCCCTCTCAGTTATATCCTCCAAGTAGAGGATTCCGTTTTTCACAGTGTTCCTTAGGTCCATCTCGTGGGGAAGTTGCTCATTGTTTCTCACGATAAATGTGCTCTCGTCAACGCCTTCAGGGAGTTTCTTGTGTTTAAGAATAATTTTTCCACGAAGTGCATGAGGGGAGGGAAGTGACGTTTCATTTTTATCGATGGGCTGAGTGAGTAGGCACTCTCCAAATACCTCCTGCATAGTGGCAGCCATTTTCCTTTGCTGTGGGAGAGTGCAGTTGTCCTCAATGGAAATTATGACAGGATAATCGGAGGTGGCAAATGCGTGCTCTTTAATGGTCTTGATGACATCGAGAAATTTGATTTTCGTGGTGAGAGTGTGGCCATGAAATATAAAGGGCATTCCCTCGGGACCATCCCAGCAATCCAGCTCGATACACCTGCAGCCTGCCCTCAGAGCTCTAACGTAGGCTTGACAGCTACTCTCGCTACTGATCTGATCCCCCATAAGGTAGGTGTTATGAGAGGAGGCTATCCAGTAGTGAGAGAGTGGTTTTTTCATGTCATGGGTAGGACGATTGTATTTGTCATTCCATATGTCGTTCTGCTTCGAGTACAGGAAGTCTATGAACTCGTGGTATGTGAAATACGGCTCCTGTACGTCCCTCTGGGGATCCTGTAGGTAATCCCTCATGAATTTCGATACCAGAGAGGAGGTGGTGCTGAGCGGATCGTCCTGCTCAGTTGTGAGAAAGCTCTGGAATTCCGAGAGTGTCACGATTTTTCCTGTGTGCGAGTATTTGAGACTCAGGATGTCCCAGTCGCAGAGGGCCGTCAAATCGATCATTAATTTGTGGTACAGAGTGACAAAGTCGTCGAATCCCAACTCTGTCCTGTCCCTGGTGTCTACCTGCTGGAAGACCTCTCGCAATTTATTAGTGGAAATTTTGCAGCTTGCTCTGGGCATAAAACTCTTAATGTCCTTGAGGCTAACCAACTCCCGACTATTTTCCATAAAGTAGAACTCTTTTCGCAGCCAGCGTTCCACCTGTAGGGGGTAGGGAGCTGTTATCGTATCCTTGACGAGATAACGAAGACCCTTTACCCAGAGCTCGCACTCTTTCTCACTGAAGGCTGATGTTGACAGGGTCTTTAACCGAAATTCAGAACCATAATAGATAACAAAGCACCTGAGATTCTCTATTTTCTTCGAATCCTCTGGCCACTTATCGAACTCCTTCGAGTTCTTACCCACGACGATCTCTTTAATCTCACGGATCTCAATTGTCCCATCGAAGGGCCTGTATGTGGGACTCTTCGCCCATACCACTTGTCTTGTCTCCCTTCGAATCATCAGGGTCTTTTTCTCTGGTTTCTTGCGCTGAAAAAACTTGGTCACCACTGTGCCACGCTCCAGCTGGCTTATTATTTGCTCCATCTCCGGAATTATTCCACTCATCTTCATTGGTTTATCCAACATCAGTTTAATAAAATAAATCACCAATTTATTCACTAAAAAAATTCACTCCTATTTATAGTTTAATTTCTTCAGAGAGACAGGTCCACTCGGTAAGTAAATCACCCTCAACCCCAGCACATTGAATTCTCAATCCTATCATCATCATCATCATTATCATCACGAATGAATAATCCTCGTCATCTTCGACGACAAATCTAAATTTCAGGTTCGAGTAATGCAACACATACAATAACAAAATAATTTCAAATAATAATAATTCATTCAACATAAACGCTGAACTGAGTGAGACCTTCAGTATTTTTGCTATAAAAATCCACTGATCTGTGGGTAAATTAACTAATTGATGTAAAATTAAAGTTTAAATGAGATGTGCATATCTGCAGTCACTTGCATGCAGAAGTATATAATGCAGCAACTGGTGAATTGATGAATTTAGATAAAAGTACTTGTGATGGTCAATCGGTGCTCGAAAATGTTGGTTCCTAGCATAGTTGCCAGATGGCGGTTTTTTTAAAAAGATTTTTTACAGATGATTTTATACAGTCAATAGTTAATCGAGTGAATTCCCGGACTCGCACTGAAACGAAAACTTTAAGTCGTGTTTATATTTTTTTTTTCCACCCAGAAACAATGATTTTTAGCGGAGGAAAAGTTTTTATTGATGGGGCAAATGATTGACGTTAAATTATCATTTTTTTTTAAAACAATGTAAAACATTTTTAGATTTACGTCGATTTACGGTGGTGAGGGGAGTTCGGAGGGATTTTTGAGGCCGACCGGTAATATCTCTTCTTTGTCAAGGTGGTAAAATCGCTTCTAGAATCTTTTCTAAAGATAGAATTAAAAGCAAAGTAGAGGGGAATTTAAATTACAGGTGATAATAGTCAAATAACTATTTTCCTAATTGAATTTGATATGTGATTGACGAGCACTCCCTTAATTCAAATGGCTTAATTTTTAGCGGGATTATTCAACTCTGAAGATAGGCAGTGTGAAGTGAGTGCCAAATGATTGTCTCAATGCAATGTTAACAATCGATTCCCGAGTTATTTATTGTTGGAGTTATGATCTGGGGAGATTAAAAAATTAATTAGGGAAAACAGCAAAGTGGAAGATTGTTTCGGGGTGGAATCGAATATTCAATTGATAGAGATATATGACGTTTTGAGATTATTAGACCTGAAAAGTGTATTTTTTTCGAGTGGTGAGGTGCGCGCGCTCCATTGCGCAGAGCGGCGAAGCTTTTCCGTAGTCACAGAATTCAGTGGAGTGAGAAATATTGGAGAATTGTGTTATTACATGGCAATTGAAAGCCGTTGAAAGGGCCTGAGCTCGTCTGAATAAGACAATTCGGTTATTTCAAGTGAGAAGTGGGTTTTGGATAATTTTTGAAAACACTATGGCTAATGAGGAACTGCCCAAGGGTTGGGAGAAACGTCTCAGCAGGTCTACAGGTATTGAATTGTTTGGATAAATTGATTGATTGTTGGATGAGGTCGGAGAGTATTGGGTGGAGTTATCGATGATTAAATTTTCAATTGGTTTTAGGGCAACATTATTATTTGAATATTTATACAAAGGAGAGTCAGTGGGATGTACCGAGCAAGCCAGCACAACCTTGCGACAATGGTGATGGCCCGGAAGAGGTTCAGTGCTCTCATATTTTAGTTAAACATGCTGGATCGAGACGTCCCTCCTCTTGGAGGGAAGAGAACATCACGAGATCGAAGGAAGAGGCCCTCGATCTTATTAAATGTGAGTTAGCAGTTGTATGATCATGTCGTCTATCCTCCAACTGAATTCTCGATTGTCTTGTCAATATCCCAGAAGTTACGAGTTTTAGAGGAAAATTTATCGAAATTTCTAGAGAGTAAGAAAGATTTTTCTTTAAATCCAATAGATTTGAAAGATATTTGAAAAATAGGCGAGTCCCTGGAAAGCAGGATGAGGGAAACTAGAGGAAATAGAGAGATCTTTATGCGAAATTTTTTCGTAGGGAATATCCAAAGCTACAAAAAAAATCTCATTCGTAAAGTGTCGCTATCTTCTCGAGATTTCAAGATATTCTATAATACTTGTGATTAAAGAAGAAATATTGATATTTCAGCGTATCGTGAACAAATAACATCTGGAAAAGCTACATTCACTGAAATAGCGTCGAAATACAGTGACTGCAGTTCAGCGAAGCGTGGAGGGGACCTGGGGCCTTTTGGTAGAGGTGCGATGCAAAAGCCATTTGAGCAAGCAGCATTTGCCCTCAAAGTTGGAGAGATGTCCTCTCCTGTCCATACAGACAGCGGTATCCATATTATAGAGAGAACTGCTTGAAGAATTTTCACGAAATCGCAGCTCATTTTTCTCTCCCCCAGAACACACACATTGAATAATAATCTATTTAGTTATCTCGAAAACTCGAGACAACTTCCGAGGAATGCAACAGTTAGTTTTTCTTTTTGCTGTTTCAAGTATTCTTCCTTTTTTTATTTTTTAAGACATACATAGATGAAGTCAGAATGAGAATCATGTCTTTAGTAACACTATTAACTATTACGGAACTAAATAAATGTGTATACATGCTCAGACTAATCTGATTGAGTCCTAGTTATTTAAACTGGTGTTTCCATGCTCTGATCGGATCCGTAGATCAATTGCAGAGTAGATATGTGGAGGGTTGCGGGGGTTTTGTTTATTTTCGCCAATCCTCTACATGCCAGGGGGGAGCATTCCATCAATCGTTGTACTGAAATTATTTTTTTAAGTTGACTGTAATACTTCTCTTTTGGTATTTTAAAATTGAAATTGTTCAAGTATTGAAATACCAAATTTCATATATATTTCGTCCGAAAGGCAAAATATATGCTTATATATTATCGGTATAAAAAAAAAAAAAACAAAAAATTCGATCGCAATTGATCCTTTTTTGTACCTGAAAGTTCGCCATGATTCCTCTGTAACACAAGAAGATTAATTACATGAATGTTTGGAAATTGAGGAGGTGTTACATTTTCGGTGAATTTATTATGTGCGTGAATGTAGCCCCGCCATAAAAAAAAAAAATTACATATTTTTCCAAAGTGTCGGGGCTAAGTTCACGCACTAATCGAGGCGAAGGACTGAATCAACGGCGACTCTATCAAATTTTCTTTTATATCTTATTTCCTCCTGGAAAAGGGATTATTAATTTGAGTGATCTCTATAGTTTATAAATATAGAATAAAATAAATAGTCCAAAAGTTAAAGTAAAAATGTCAAACGAAAGTGCGATGTTGGTGGAAAAAAGTAAGATACATTGAGAGTAGAGGGGAAAAAAAGTACTCGGATATCCTGAGCCGACCTGAAAATAGCTTTGATCATACCTCCGTGTCTTTTCCGATTGTTCTTTTCCGGTTTTTGAGTCTGGCTGTCTCAAGGCTTTGTGCCAAATGTCGGATAGTTGATGTTCCGGTGCTAAAACGTAGTCGCCTTGGGCAAGAAGCCTGTCCTGCCTCTCGGTGCTCACCTCTAGAACACGGCCCTGATCGTTGCGACTAAAAATAAATGGAAAAATTCGCTCTCAGCCACTGTTAATTTCAAACAACCCGACAAACTATCATCGAATCAATTAATGAACCTCGCTGATGGATGAAGGTCATTTTCCAGCTGTATCAGCGGTAAGTCCCAGCCAACTTCGTCTTCTTCGAATTCCGAACCACTGACGATGAGAATGTCAAATTTTTCAACGATCAATGCATTAAAATGTCGGATTAATCCCAAGGGTGATAGGGGAACGTCGGTGAAAATATTTACCTACTCATTTCCTCTTTTAAGTCTCTGTAATACTTCACCGTCTCGTCAATCTCAATTTGATTGCCACTTCGATAATTCATGACAGCATGAACGAGTTTAAATCCCTCAGGGCGTTCGTAGTTCTCGGGGGATCCATCAATATCGTTCAATCTGATACCTGGTTTGTTCCTCCTCAAATATTTGTGCATTTCCTGATTCTTCATGTGGACCTTTATCGAAAAAATACGAAATCAAACAAAATCAAACAAAAAAGAAAAAAAAATAGTTGAAAAATTGCAAAAAAAAGGCGAAGAACTTTCAAATAATTGCTTGTTTACTAATACAAATCTCACATCATGAGAAAATTGAATAAGATCTGCTTGGCGAAGTTTAGGATGGGGTTCGTTGCTCGGTTTCATCACTCTCATCTCCTTTTTGTACCATCTGTGAACAATGAATATAGCATCCTCATTCCTCACTCCTTCGCGAATGAGCGCCTCCCGTGCCTCTTGCTTGCTATTATATTTATTGAGAATTTCCTTGAATCGCTCTTCCAACTGATAGCCGAAACGCTTCCTGATGGTGTAGCCCCGGAAGACTACCAATTTCGTAATTAATGTTATTCCCTTGTGCTATTGAAACGTAAAGGAACATTGAGTATAAGTACACTAGAGTTACTCACAACTCTGGATGATGACAGCAGCGTCATCCTCATTGATATCACCCTTGTCAACGCTAGCTGACAATTTGGCAATTTGATGAGCCAAAGCATCCTGCGACATTTTCCGGCTCCGGAGCATCTCATTGAGCTTTTCCTCAGCTGTAATAAATAATCAGTGTAAGCGATATTGCGTGGGTTAAAATGAAGACAATAGATAATAGAATGTGGAGACCTTGGATCTCATCCAAGGGTGATGGTAGAGTAGACAGGCTTCGATGCAGGGCTTTTGAATTCATTCTCTTTCTCGATAACCAGCCTCGAATGTGCCGCTGGAGGGTCACAACCGAGCAAGCCAACTGCCACTTTTGTTTTTTATAGTAAATCTTTGCCAGCCAACGTCTCACTGATGCTTGCACCATGACGATTTTTCTTATCTGCTCCTCGTACATTTTCGATAAAAACTCGACGTGATAGTATTTGAGAAAGACTTTGGTTTTGCCCAGGGCCCAACCGTCCATTTTGAGGCGAATTAGGAGAAGTCGACAGTTGTCACTGTTGGCGACAACTTTTTCATCATAGCCAAATGCCAGGAAGCAGTATCTCTTGAGGAAGTCGTTGAATGGAATCCGGTGGGAGAAACCGTTTTGACGGATTCTTATCGTCTCTAGAACTCCCGTGTATCTCAACTGCTTCACCACTTTTTCTTTGTCAAAGTATCTCGGGCTCGTTGTTTCGTTTGGTTTTATACATCTTACGAATTGGGGACAACCTGTTACCATCTTCTGGAGGAGATCCATTAGAGAGTATCTGAAGTATGTTGCCACTGTCTGCTGGGCCCTTGATTGGGAGGCCAATCCTCGGCTTGAGTATTTCTCCTGTGGAATTTTTGTGGCAATTTTGTTTATCGGTTAGTTATGGAAATTTTAATTATTGCACTGGTTTCAATAATTCGTACGTGCCTTTGTGTCATGATTGGAATGCGTGGAATTACGTGTGCCTGTGTCACGTAGTGCTGAATACAGATTGCCGGTTTTCGTGATTGGGCATTGGAATAAAAATCTCACCATGTCTGATTGCGATTGTCTGACCAGTTGGATTACCTCTGGGGGGAGGAAGTTGCGATTCTTGGACAGAAATCCCTCGGCCTGGTATACAACACGCCCCGCGAAATGATGAATTGCGAAACACGCTGCGTCTGATTTTGGACGGACGTAGAACTTGGATTTTATGTTACTGTGGAATTTCTCTGGAATTGGAATGAATTAATCATTTTTTAAAACTAATTTTATAAAATCATTAAAATCATTAAAATCATTGCAAAAATTTAGTGCCACTTAAATTCAATTCGATCCTGAATTTCCTCATTTCTCTATAGTTACGAGACGAAAGATTTGAAAACTAAAACAAATTTTTTATTTGTGTAAGATTAAGTGATAATACCAATTAATGATCGATCATTAGCCCTTGGGAATCGACTCTCCTCATCCAATAGCGCCAACAATCCCATTGGCTTGCTGAGTAACATATCCAATACAGGTCTATTATCCGAGAATTCAACTAGATCGACAGGTATTCCCTCAGCCATGTACTCCTGCTGCTCCCACGTGAATATATGCTGATTGAAATAGTATTGTATTTGCTCATTGGCGATGTTAATGCACAATTGTTCAAACGAATTTCGCGGAAAATTTTCAAAACCAAATATGTCGAGTAGGCCAATGGCTAAGGGTTCGTATTTCGGTGACCTATTGAAACTCAGGAGGCAATTTATCTGATTGACCATCCAATCAAACAAACGACCGTACAATCCTTTGGCCATTGCGTCACGTGCTGCACATGACTCATCCACTGTATTATTACGTGTAATTGTTTCACCTCTCGTTACGACAGAATTAGATGTCAATGCTTCCATCAGATCCATTCTCTCGATTCCCAAAAGATGAGAAACTATACAGAAAAAAAAAATCTTGCATATGCTTTGTTTACAAGCCTAAAGCCTAATACAAGCCTAAAAATATAGTGAAATTATTTTCGTTGAATTTACCTCGATTCAGTGGATCTTTGTTCACGACAACGCTTTTATTATCAGTGTTGTCCTCTCCAGCGGCCTCCTCGAACTCTATATCCCCCAAATGTAGAATAGCCGCAAGTACAGCGTAGACAGTATCCACTTCGGTGTCCCTGAATCCCAGAACTTTAAATCCATTTTTAATTTCGTAAAATTTATCAATATGCGCTTTGCTCGCACAGCTATTATCGGTTAAATAACGGTGATTGCTTCGGAGAAGGTAATCAAGGTGAAATTCCTCCAAGCGATTGTCCGCGTCGAGACCATCATACATATAGTAAAAGATGTGAAAATTTCGCTCTCCCCTGAAATTATTTATTTTATTTGAGCTAAATTAAAATAAAAACTTGTTCCTCCGGATAACGGAACTGATTGATTTAGAAAATATCTTACGCCGCTTGTGCAACAACACGCGACTGCTCCAAAAGATAAACAGCAATTCTAGCCCCAGTGACTTTTCCACCCCTTGTCATGGTTAAATCCAAGTACTTTCCGAATCTGGAGGAGTTGGCATTGATACCGGTTGTAGCATTGCCAAATGCTTCCATTATGGGATTTATCTGTAGTATTTGCTCCTCGAGATTTCTGTTAGGTGCTTTGCTCAAGTAAACCAATTGCTTCAGTAATAAATTAGCGCTCTCGGTTTTACCCGCGCCAGATTCACCGCTTATTATTATTGATTGATTTTGACGTTGGTGGAGAAGGGCCTGATATGCAGCATCCGCAACAGCAAAAATATGAGGGGGATTGTCAGAACGGGCTTGACCTTTGTACCGACGTTGTTCTATTCCGGTGTAGAGGCCCAGGTTGGTGAACGGATTCACTGCCACCAGGATATCCCCTTAATCAATTTAAATTTCAAAAAATTATTTCTTTTAATAATTTTCTTTTTTACTTTTATGCAAAATACCGCGCAATTTCTATTGTCATTGTATTGATACATTCTATTTATCTTTTCGTCACGATGTTTTAGGAGAAATTGTTACGTGCAAGTATACATTCTATGAATGCAACTGCACGTAAATTCCACGCCAATCCAAATCGCTTTACTTCATTTTTTCATGTTTCATTCAGTTTCGATTAATTAACGAATTGATGAATAATTCACCTATGTACGTGTATATTTGACCCTCGGTGTACCTATGCTCGAGCTGTTGAACAATGCTGTTCTCGGAAAGGGCATCAAGGGCAGCAAGATCATCGAAATAAATTTTTTTAGCCACTGCCTTTCTATCGCTCTTCAATTTTCCGTGTTTGGTAGTTATTTCTGGCTGTCGGTGTATCCGCCCCTCGCTTCTCTGCCTTCGAATTTCCTTTTGAAGTTCCTCTCTCACTTGCCCATTAAAACAATCAACAGACTTGAGGAGTGGATGCTCTTGGAGTTCGCTGGCGAAGGGTCGATGCTCCAGATCTTTGACAAGACACTCGCCAATGAAATCCGACATTTCTGGAAGATGGAGCTCCGGATTTTTTAGTCTCGGGGGTGGATTTCGGGGAATTTGAAAGAGGGCTCGCATAGGGTGTAGCTCGGCTAGGGGTGGGTCACCCTCGGCTAATTCGATGGTTGTTATTCCCACTGACCAGACGTCGCAACGACAATCATACGACGAATCCAATTGTTGTTCGCACGCAATTACCTGATTATTACGGAATTTTTAAATTTTTTATTAGGTATATCGAGTTGACTACGTGAACAACAACTTAAAGCATAGAATGTATAAATAAAATGGTGAGGAATTGGCAAATTTAGAAAAATCATAATGATGACATTGACCTCTGGTGCCATCCAATATGGAGTACCAACGGAGGTATTCTTCCTGGCGAGTGTCATAGCCAAGTGGGAGGACACACCAAAATCCACCAATTTGATATTTGCTTCTTCGGTCAAGAGAATATTGTGGCCTTTAACGTCTCTATGCATGCAGTGATTGGTATGCAAATAGACAAGCGCCTCGACGGTTTCTCGGATTATATAAGCTATTTGATTATCAGTCAAACGGCTTCCTCGCTTCTTCAGCCCTTGGACCAGATCCGTAACGGCACCACCTGTGCATAGCTAAAAATAATTGATGCATTTATTTGAGGGTTTTCATGTTCCAAGGTTTATTCGTGTTTTCAGTTAGACTCAATATTTTTATTCCTAAACATTTTTTACAACAATAATAATAGATGAAAATAATAACTTGTTATAGGGCATTTTTATTTAATTCATTATTTTGATATTGAATTGAGAAAATGACATACTGTCAGGTACGTACGGATTTTCTCTTGAAAAAAAATGTTCTTCATTTAATATTTGATTTGGGGGATTTATTTACCTCCATGGCGAACCAAAGTTGATCCTCGTCATGTCCAACACTCCCTCGATTCATGAATAAACCGTAGAATAGGGGAATATTTGAATGAGGGCTCAAGTCTCGAAGAATCAGATATTCCTCCTCGATTTCCTCGATATTGTCAGCAATATTTTCCAGTATTTTAATAGCCACTCGTGTGTTATTCGTTTGATCCCGAGCGGCATAGACTTCACCGTAGGTACCTTCCCCGATCAAGTCCTCCAGGATGAAGAGACCGTCAGGACTAGGTATCACATCGAAATCAATCTGAGAACTCAGACCGCGATAGGCCAAGTTGCTGTTTCCACTCTTTCCTAATTCTGTTGAAATTCAATAATGAATATCTCGGTGCTGTAGTCTACTTATCTCACGATTTGATCTCGAATATAAAGCAATTTGGAAGAAAATGTCGGTAGAGTGCTTTATGCAGTGATATGCCGTGAATTTTCAGGGCTACAAAAACTTCTGATAAATGTAGTAGTTGAGAAAATTTTGGAAAAATAGGGCAAAGCGATACGAGTATGGTAAAATTGAAACAAATAATAGTACCCATGATATCCATATTTTGTGGTATAATTTACGCCAGTATGTGCTAGTATAAATGACGAATATCAACTGAACATCTTCGAGTTCTCAAACCAAAGAGATACCTGTTAACCACCTAAATGAGATTACACCGGTGAGGCCGGCGCAGTTGTCATTGTCGTTCAATTTCCATCGATTTCACCAGGAAAAAAAGCCTAACTCAATTGTGTCTCTCTCCTCGAATAAAAAACTCATGAAATAATAATAATGTCCGTACTGGAGAACCTTGAGATTTAGATAATATTCATTGTGAACTCTTTTCAATTTAAAATTGGGCGTGTTTAAATGATTCAGAGCTCCAAGAATGTATTATTGGATACTGTAATTAACACATTCCTCTTTTCGAAGCACTCAAGCGTGGAATCGAGGTGGACAAATACACTTGCCTAGATATTATTGTTAATTTTCATGTAGTCAGTGCGGCGTAAATTGAAGTTGCTCCAATTAGTCAATTACATTAATTGAAATTTTAGTAGGATCAACGGATAAGAAATGAGGAAAATAAGAAATTGATATGTTTTTAGGTCTTCAAAATCCAAATCTCTTTTCACTATGGCATAGTTTCCTTTCTCTTACGCAATTTCCCACATAAATCGCGCGAATGATACGCGATAATGGTGTTGTCTCTCCTTTGGCTTCCCGAGTGACTCATCCAATCATATAGCTAAATGATTGAACAATCAAGATCGTAGTCGTGGTAACCAATCGACTTGTTTTATTATTCTCCGATTCTCGAACAGTCGCTATGTAACGGTGTTATCCTGCTTATCGCTGATACTTTCTGCTGTATGAATTATGCTACCACCGATATTCATAGTCTTTTTGCATTGCGACGTAGTGACCTTGGTTTGATCTCAGTTGTACAGTGGGTGGGAGATTACTACCCACAAGAGAAAGAGCATTTCTGGCTTTTTTTTTTTTCTGAACTGTCATTATATGTTGATCCTCATATATTCTCCATTTTTTTATATTATCCCTTTAAATATTCCATAATCTTTTAAAATTCTTATTTTTCATTTATTTAAAAGATTTGTCCGAATCGAAATTTTCTTTTTTAAATAGAAAAAAAGGTTATCACGAGTTGAGGAAGATTCAACCGCGATATATGTACAAATTGCTGAAGCAAAAATCGAAGCGAGTCAACAAAACTGAAGTCAAGCTTTGATCTTGAAAAAAAAATAAATAAAAATTCCGAGAGAAATTATGACAATTATGAAATTGCAGACACATGATATCCTCAGCCCCTCCCTCCATAATGATTCACGCGACGATGATTCATTTAAAAAAAATAAATAAATGAATGAAAACTACTCGATAGAGGACGCATGATAAAGTGATATTTCCTATCACCAACGAGATCTCCTGCGCTGATGGATGAAAAGTCGATACGGATCGACCTTGCCGAACCCTATATTCATGCTAACAACAACCCAATGGTTTTTCGTGCCAAGCAAAACTGCAAGTTTCGATCGTGTTTCCAAGTCACTGCAGTTGAAGAATCATCCTTCGCATAGTAGTTTATTCATAGGAATAGGCATCGATTCAGGGCGGTCTTATCCTACATTTCTTATCCCTGATGTTTCAATGTACAATCCATTGCATGCATGAGGCTTAATCTTATCCACCGAGCTTTTGAATTGAACAACCGGAATTACCGGAAGGCCACGATCGATCGACTTCTCAATCAAAAAACCAGCACACTAACAAAAATTTATAATCAAATTTAACGATATATTAACGATATTCACGATCAATAGATTTTGCAATCAGTATTTTTCATTGAATATTTAATGAATCTTGTAGAATTTTCAATTATTCGAAATGGAGACAGAGAAAAAGAATGTTCATTTATTATGTTGCAACTTTGGGGTCATGTGACAATAACTAACCGCAGACAAGCCTCAGAACATGTCATCACGAAACACCACATGGTATTGTATTTCAAGGCTGCGGCTAATTCTACGTGCCGTCGAAGCTCTTCATTAATTTTATTATTCATTAAAAACCATGAGTCACACGATACCCCTACAAAAATAATATTAACATTTCCTCGTGTTCACATACTCCACACACCCGATAATCTCCAGTGGTAAACACTCGGTTAATCCTGCCAACATTTCGATTATCTCTAGATCAAATTCAGGGGATGGATCAATAAAATTAAGATAATACAATTTTTTATTTCATTGTTTATTATTTTTTTTATTCATCTTTTTTTTCTCCTCCCACATTCTCTCAATAATTTTTGTACAAGATTGATCACTCGCGGGCAAAAAATAACGTTCACATTCATATATTTACATGAAATTGTAATGATATCGATACAATCGTGAGAATGGAAATATTTCAAATGGTAGAGCTGTCGTTTTTTTTTACATTATTCAATGATTTTGTTCTTTGCTGCTCAATAATCTTATTAATACTCATAAGTATCGCGTATACATTTAGCGTGTGGACCACTTGTTCACCGTTATCTGGTCATTTATTTTAGTTCGTAAAAAAGAATAAATAGAGAAAGAGAGATTCGCTCAGTATTAACTAAAATAATAACAATAAATTAATCAAATGTGAGGGAATTTTCGGGAATTGAGATTCATTAAATATCATTAATTTGAAAAAAAAAAATGGGTTGAATCAATGGCTTCCCGTTGAGATTTCACTTTGAAAGTTGGCGATAAGTGCGGAATCATTTCCTGAATTCGTCACAGCTGTGATAATATGTTAATAGTTTTATTCACTTTATAAAAACCGAGATACAGTTAATTTAAAGGGTGTTTCATTTAGCCACAGAAAAGAACCACGATAATTGGGTAAAGAGAAAGAAATAATTCCGACTTATTCCAGCAATGACGTTCACCTCGTCATTGGAATCAATGACCACATGACATTAATAACACGTGCTAAACGACGAAATAAAGCGTCAATAGCAATGATGTTTCTTCGTCGGTGACCCTGTCTCCTCTCAGAATATTCGATGAGCACTTTGAATGCTCCACAGAGCACTAGACTATTTTCACTCTCGTCGATGACACGAGGGGCAAGGACATAGCCTCCTCTTCTCTCTGTCACACACAATGTCCCACACGCGCATGACAATAAAAATCTTGAATTCCTCCATCATATTTTATCTGCACTGTCGGAAAAAAAAATGACGAAAATTGCACTCAATTAGACGGAGAGAAATTATGTGAGAATTCTTGCAAGAGGAGATGGTTGTTCCTTCATGGAAACATCATTGCTTGTCAAAAAATACAAATAAGAGCTGGGAACTATCATTCATTTACCTTAATGTCAATGAATTTGTTCCAGGAGATAATGATAATCGAATAAATACGAATTTGATGAAAATTTGTGAAGCATTCTATAGAAATTGTACCGTCATTTGTAACAGCGTTAATGAGATTCAAATGTTGTCATAGGAAATTGGACAAATATTCGAAATAGTTTTTGTAGAAAATTTTCATTCCATCGTATTCTGATATGAAATGTCTAGGTAATTATGCTCTTGAGCTCCTTGTACGACCTATAGGCACATCTTTTCCCACTAAAAATATCGGTATGATGATTGGATAATGAGATAATTTTTAATATGTACAATTATTCAGTCAACGGAATTAGCGATTTAATCTCCTTTTATTCGAGATTCGCGCTATAAAAAAAGGAACACACCTATAGGCATATTGTAACATCTAGGCAAATAATGGAATGGAGATGTACACTGTAGGGTTTTTTTTTGTTGAGGTATGAAGAGAAGTTTCGAGGATTATTCGAGGAGATCGGTCAATTATGTTCTTGCCTTCAGTCTCGAGAGCGTTTCTATAAGAATGTGTGCATTGATAAAGCTGGAAAAATTATTTTCATCGGTCCTTTAAAAAATATCGACTTCACATCTGCCCAATACCGAGAAAATAAAAATCTCATCAATTCAATCGTTTAATCATTGCAGTAGCAAAATTATCAAGTGAGATGAGTCGAATTTCCCATTGTGCTTTATCATCGATTAATCGTAAAAATTGTTGATTTAAAGATGAAAACATGAAAACAACAAGGACTTTTCTTTTTTATAGCGAATTGAAATCCAGATAAAAAGGATAAATACCTATATCTATTTCATTCGAAAATCAATAATTTTCTAGATTAAATCGAGCATAATCTCACTTTCCGCCACAGCTAGTCTCAGAGAAAAAGCTATTTTTAATAAAATTAATAAATGTGAAAAATCGTAAAATCTGATGAATAATTTTATGGTAATACTGAGAAAAAAAAAGTCTGTCAATAGAATGAGATTCTCTGCGAGGACAAAATAATTTATGAGAAAAAAAAAACAATTGAAAAAAAACAGTCAGCTGAATATTTACTGGTATGAAGTAAATATCCGCAGTAAAAAATAGTTTGGCCTCTGATACTAGCGATTGAATCCTCAATAAAAATCGTTTGAAATAATAATCTCCATATCGCAGTGTTTACTCTGATCTCTCGAATTAATATTTCACTTTAGCTTTAACTTCCTCAGCAAGTCCCCCCCACTTGAGCTTATAAACTCTAGACCGCCACTGTATGAGAGGATCAAGCACAGCCTGGATGAACAAATATGGTCTTGTCATTTCACTAAGAATCCATCCGCACATGAATTCAAGCTTATTAAGTGGCAACGGGCTATTCTGAACAATACACAGCATCGTCCAATCTAGCATAAACCACATGAGTATATGAACAAGATAAAAGACGAGTGAATCCCATTCAAATAGTAGAGCAGCTGACCATGATGCACAAGCACCAAGTATAAGACACTCACTCAGTGGTTCAAGTAAAATAGTCGTTGGAAGCATAGCAACTCTCAATTTAGCCCATCGTCTCAATCTTGCTTGAAACGTGTGCATTTCACAGTGTCCACTATTCTGGAGTGCTGGTTGTGATGATACTGTTATCTTCCAGCCCCTCTCAGTGAGGGCCTTTGCGTAGAAAAAATCCTCAGCAAGATAAACCCCAAATGCTTTGAGACCACCGGCTTCTTCAAGGGCTGATTTACGAATTAGGGCTGACATACCAGTGTGACAATTTATCCTTAGCACATCTGCAGCTAGGTACATTCTCGATTGTACAGTACCAAAATATATCTTCTCATAGGCCGCAGCAAAGCCACCTCTGTCGCATGTGAATGGCAACTGATGAACAAGACCAACTTTGTCTGTCATGTAGCCAACCATATCCAACAGTGTATCCTCCTTCATTCTTATTCCACTATCACTAATAAGTATTAACTCGTGTTTGGCAGCCTCATAAGCCGGATGCATGTTATTTATCTTTGGATTGACACCGACTCTGCATCCACCAATGAATAGTCTTGTGTCGATGTTTGAGTAATTCTCCATTAATTTTCTCACTAGCATCAACACTGGATCTGACTCGTCCTCCACGCAGAAGAGTATTTCGTACGTTGGGTAATCAAGGGTGAAGAATGTTTCGAGATTGTTGAATAGATTTGGATCGATACCCATGAGGGGCTTGAGAATTGACACACCTGGAAGGGGTATCTCATAGCTGTTTGCCACCTGTGGTGGTTTACGGTGGAGCTTCCAACGACCACAGATCAGGGCTAGGACATGAACAATCCACAGACACACCCAGAATATCATGAAGAACACTGCGAACCCGTACAGGGTGTATACTGCAGGGCTCATCTTCCCTTTTCACCACAACTATCAATAAGTTATTTGTTGGAGAGGCTGATATTTTTTCAAGTACTGGAATAATCACTGCTCAATACCCAGGTCCAGCTATTTTTCATTGAGGTTTTTTCGTTTTTTCGATTGATTTAAAAATGGAGTGGGTCTTTTTTCGTTTGTTGGTCGGTCTCAAGCCTTTTACGATTGTTCGGTTGCTCTTCAATCTCACTGTTGGGTTTTTAGGCCTCGTCGTCATCCCTGATGTGTTTCAAATGTGTCTGGGATGTGGCGATGAGTCAGTCAGTAGTGATTGACAATTAATTTCCGTGGATTTGGGTAAATTGAGAGGACTGAGATCATTGGGTGATCGATTTTTCACAATATTTTCCTTGGTAAATTTTTTGTGGAGGACACTGATGACTAGCGGACTAGCAGGGTAGAGCTAGTGAAGATGTTGGGGCGTTCAACCGACTCTGGCTATTGGTCGGTGTCAAAACTCACCGGCCGTATCTCTCTGCATGTTGTTGTTTTTTGTTACTCTCTATTATTATTATTTTTTATTTATCAGGAACAATTTCCTGATGAACACTTGATGAACTTTCAACTGAACATGTTTATTGATGTGTCTTTAGGCATTCACTCGCGGTAATTTATGTCGATTTAGTCGATTTCGAGGGAACTTTGCACTGGGTATAAGATATTGATAGATTGGAATGAGTTGCAGACTACTCAGCACTCGGTTAAAAACGGTTTGTGATGAATAATTTATCGAGTGATTATTCACGGTGATGTGACAGTGATTTGGAAAATTTTTTGAGTGATTAACTTTGGCGTCGGGTGTAACTTGCATGTGACAGCCGGCCTCGGGGATGCGTATGGTGCATCTGCGGCACCCTTCAGTGAATAGTTTTGCGGATGTGTGGGTAAGTCAGGCCACTCGGCTTGGGGCGGTGGATGCGTTTTATAGCCGACGAGGATGCGACAATTGTCCGTACGGTTTGGGTATCGACTGCCAACTGATATCGACGACATGTTCGTAGGACTCGGCCAATTCCGAAGGCTTGGGCGGCTTGGGTGGCTACCGTGGCTTGGCTCATGTACCTCGCTAGAGACCCTAGAGACATCTATTCGGGTGAGGGGACTAAGAAGGGAATGGCATTATCGACCAATTTTACGTAATATTTGGTGGTAATTTGATATCAAAATAGAGCAACTGATAGTGGCAATGGGGCATAAAAATAAACATAATTGATAATTGTTTCGCACATCTTTTATTGCAATTAATCACAGATTAAACCGCTGAAAATTCATGATGCTTCATTGAATATTACAAACATCAATATGATAATTATTTAATCGACAGACACTTAGTAATGATATAAAGACTTGTTTTCTCGATGATTAATAACTCATAATCTAGCATGATCACCTCAGAAAACGACCATCACAACCGCAATCTTCCCATAACCCATCACATTTTCAATTTAAAAATAATCATCTCACTATAGAGAACATGGGATAGATAGGAGTGACAAATTTGCCTTAATAGAGTGTCTGATTTTCTTTGAGAATGATTAATACTCTGCGATACTTTAATTTTCATGTAATAGGTTGAGTAAAAAAATATGAGTAATCGAAAGAACAGATAATTAACCAGTTTTGCTGCAAAAGGCAATTGTGTGGTATTATTATCAAACATTCTCAATAATTACGTGTTTGATGATAATTGCTTTTTTTTTTCCTTAAAAATAATCAATAATGATAAATTGCATTGATGAATGACTACAACGATTGCCCACCCACTTCGATTATTTATCTCCTCATAGTTTTGAATAATGATGTTTAATAATGGCTCATTGGGTCTAATTTTTCGTTCAAGTTCGAATTAGATCATGAAATAATGTGAACATTGGGCGTTTAAAGTAAAAAAAAAAATATCTTAATTTAGCATGATTCGAAATATTATGAACATATTGTGGCCCCAAGGCCAACTCTCTCATTCACGCACCAATTATTCTGAGTCGCACAACTGAAAAATGCCTCATTAAGAGCTCATTAAAATTTCTTTTTTTTTTTAACAACAAATTCAAAGTAAAAGTCTTGTATTATCGTGAAAGTGGCTCCTATGAATTTAAATCGATTTATATACATTATGAACAGATTTCACGGCATTCTGTAGATGTCTCGAAAGTAAAATACATTTCTCCTCGACGATAAAAATGATTTGAAATTTAACGTTAATAGAAAAAAAAAATAATAATAATTGGTCCATCGTGATAACAAATTTTGGGGATGAACATCCAAATAAATGAGTTCCTCCAAACATTTTATACTGCTAAAGCACTTAATCGTCAATCTCATTAACCCTCAATTAATCATTAATATTTTTTTTTCATCACAGCATAAAACGAGTCGCATAAGCATTTAAAAAATCAAATATTACAACAAGAAAACTCAGACAATCAATGGAATATATTCAATCGATTTGCTGATGTCTTTCAATTTTACAAGTGAAGATTCTCAATAATTTTTCAAATTTATCAAATCTCCGCTTGTCAAGCCGCTCTCAAATTCCCAAATTAGCAATGCTATGAGATTCACTCTGATTATCGTTATCCATGGAATTTGATTGTCGTAGAGGTGGTGCTGTATCACTTCGAGTGTCCGTTGTGAGTTTGAAATTATGTTTGTCCACGTGGGCAAGCTCAATGGGCAGATATATTGTTCTACAGTGATCAATATCGGCACGACACAGTGGACAACGCTCACATCTACGTGCACAATCCAAACATGCCACAGCATGGCCGCAGGGAAATAGAGCTGTGTCCAAACTCCGATCCATGCATATACGGCATAACATGGCATCTAGCAGGCGAGCCAGACACTCACGAGGCTCCTAAAATCAATATTTCAAATTCATATCTATTTCATTATTTCATCACCACATGGGCGGACCAAATAAATGTGAAAACTCTTACTTTGCACTTGGGATTCTCACACTCTCCACAATCGTGTTTATCCATCGTCTGACTGGCTTCTGGAAGCCCGATATTACTAGTCTCGCAATACAATGCCCTCCTCGCGTTATCATACACCTCTCGACACGTCCTCCGGATGTCGAATACGTACTTTTTTCCCAGTGTCGAATCTTCATTGAAAATGGAAATGATAGTACCCTGCAGAACAGAATGAAAAATTGGAGAAAAAAAAGAACGATAAGATCAAGTACCTTGACCCCTTTGAAAGCCAAAAAATACCTTGAGATCGCGTATAAATTGTGCGGTTACAGCACTCCTCACTGTTTCACAACTGTAAAATGCGTGTTTTTCGGTTATTGCTCGATACAAACCACTCGCTGATTGACTAGAGTCCAATTTAAAGTCCAGTGATGTCTCCTCACCATCCAGGGACAGGTAAATTAAATGAAACATTCGCCTTTGTGACGTAGCACTTTGAATTGCAGTGTATGGAATACTAAAACGTGAATAATGAAATTCATCAATTCATGATAACGAGAGGTCGGTAAAAGCAATTATGATTGATTCCACCATTCTCTAAATAATTCAGACAATTTTCAACATTTCAATGCGTTATTTTCAATTATTTCTAGTGATTTCTCGCTCAAAGTGCATAATTGGTTTCGGCGGTAGACCATGTTTTCAACTTCCCGCCCTTTTGAAAAATTAATTTCATCAAGATATTCTATCTGGAGCCGTTCTCCGTTCTCCAATTTTTAATAACTCATATTTCCAATAACTTGTACAGAAATTCAATATTCAATATTCCAAATGGAATTCAATCTCTTCAATATCTAAAGAATGAATCGAGTCGCAGAATCTTTGATATCTCTGGGTGGAGATTTCGATATAAAGTAGTGTAATTAAAACTTCGTGCCTCGGTAGCACTTTAATTGTGAGGATTTTTTCATTATCATCGGTGTGTGAAATACTTTATCCGAGGTTCGTCATTGTGAATCGACTACAGAGAAGTTCATTTCATAAAGAACAAAACATCCTCTTTCTCAGTTCTAAAACTTTTTTCATTTCAACTGACTGATGAGGTTCAATGCATTTTGTCATTCCTCTCTGTTTTTCCCATTATTTGGGCCTTATAGTGAGGGGTTGAAAACATTTACTAAGCAACTCACTTTTGCTTTTCCTCGTTGTCCCCTCGGTAAACAGTGATTCCATGGGGTCCAACTCCAATCATTGACACAGCATTTGACCCGAATTTACTGTGGAACATTTCCTGGCCGAATGTGTCCAGATTGGAAACTTCTTTGAGGAGCCAGTACTCAGCTGTTGATGCTTTCATACCCTGGAACGTTTTGAACGCGATGTTTTTCTTTCTTTTTATTAAAAAAAAAAAAATCAAATAAAAAAAACATCCAATTTCAAATGAAAATAAAAAATTCTTATTCATACTTGAAACTCAGATGTTCACTCTACTGTCAAGACTTTTGAAATGTTCAAAAAGGATTAATTTTTTTGTTTCTCGAGTGGATCTTTGAATTGAGACTTACCCTGATCTCCTTGTGCTGCTGAATGATTCTATGTAGAAAGTCATTAGGCTTGGGATCACACGGCTTATCAGGTTGTATCTGACAGCACTGGGAATAGAGGCCATGGGGTGGTGACAGAGGATCGTAATCCCCAGCCTCAGCCTGTGCTACCAGAGCAACAAGACGCGCCAGTGAACACCAATCTGGCACTTTGAGGCGGCCCTCAACCAGTTCAAGACGTGAGTGCAGGTAGAATTGATGTCTGTGGGCATTTTAAAATGCATTTTTACATAGGACCATTTAAATTCCAGAGCGAGACGCTTTTGGAGAGATGGAAAATGTTGAGGATTTATTACGGATTTATTACGGATTTACTATTACCATATAAGTGAAATGGGTAGAGTACCTGGTGGCCTCCTGCAGCAACAGGTGAGGTGGAACCCAAAATTTCACCCTCAGTGCGAACCTAAGAGGTGCAAGACCTCCACCTCCACCAGTTTGTCGGTCAATGGGATTTCTCAGATTGAGCCACAACTCCTCCCCCTTGGCATTCTGGTACTTCAGGCCAAAATAATCGCACTCTTTGCTTATTCCCAAGCAATTGCACGCCTGCACAAGTCAACAAGCCGAACATTCCATAAACAATTCATTAATTTAATTTTAATTTTATGAAACGTTGAATATCAATAACTGCGAGATATATCTAGGAGATGAGTGTATAGCACCTCCAGATGGAGATATCGGAGAGAATTTAGATGCGGAGGTGATTAATGAGTAACTGTCGAAACACCAATTATCATTTTCAGAAAACATTCGCAAATGCATTTGAAAATGGGAATTTCATCAACGGCGGTAATAAACTAAAATAAACGTCAGGGTAGGTTGAGATGGAGAATGGAAAAGTTTTGGTTCACTCGAGTTTCTCGTTCGTGTCTCTGAGACACGGAGAAAAGCGCAAAGTCAAGTACCAACTTTTGGTCACCGACGTTGAATTCCCCGGCTTTCCTTTTTTTTTTTCTCCCTTTTTTCCGGGAGAATTCCAGAAGAGTGAAGAAAGAGTTCCGTTGGTGAGTATGGTATGGGCTTCGGCTCCTCAAACCACTTGATATCCTAACGGAAAAGTGAAAAATCGTGGCAACTGCAAACTCTTATCTGATAACAAATAATTTCTCAAATTTTTTTCGCCATATTTTTTCAGGCGCGAGAAGAATTTTCATCGATGGTTTTTAATTTGACGAGTTGAGGTGTATGTTCATAATTTTTTGTCTTCTTCAAACAAATCGCAATAGATGGTTTATTATGCATTATTTGTGGGAAGTAAACACTCGTTATAGACGTGGTGGGAATAAAAAATGGCATCAATGCTGAACAACAAACGCAGGTGATAAAGAAAAATAGCGATAAAAATGATGTAAATTATTGAACTCATACTGGGATTATAAAATCCACGTTCTGGCGCACTTGGTGGAGTACTTGGTTTAAATTAATGCTGGTGCGAAGTACAGTATTTCATTTGGACTCCGGGTTTAACCGGTCCCCATTCGCTGCGGAAAACCGGCTCGTCGAGATGTAAACACGTTGGCTCCTATATTTTTCGAAATAGAATTTTTATCCGATTTTTCTTTTTTTTTTTATGCGCTAATGGAAAACGAATGCATATTGAGATTGAGAGGCTTGGGTTTTTTATCGTTGAATTCATTCAGTGATAAGCTCCACACATAGATAGTGATGATTAATCTTCGGGAATAAAAGTTTGGTGGTGGATTTGATATGCAAGTAGTGTATGTGACAGAGTTTTAGTACATTTGAGTCAGCCGATCCTTCGATAGTGTGTAATCACTCTGAAATAAAAATTTTTACGAATTTTCACGGATGTTTTCAATATGCGCTGACCGAGTAATACGATCTCGACGAGTTAGGGCTTATTTTAATAAATGAAGAAATATCTTGAAAATGGTATTAAATTTATTGGTTGAGAAATCAGGAAATTCGTCATTTTATTAGCAGAATCGTATGGTAAGGTATATTGGAGGTATGTCGGAGGTGTCAGGAAGAGGGATTTAGTTACATTTCTCCACTGAATTAAAGTTTCAAGACCTCAAGATGAGGGTATCACTGGCAATACACCAGCTTTGAACTAGTTTAGTCCATTTAATCCAACAGGATATTAACACGTCAATGTCACCTATACCCGAAAATACTCGGTAAATAATGGGTTTGAAAGTTCTTGTGAGATTTATTAGGTATCTTGACGTGGACCAGTTTAAAACTCAATTATTTGACATCGACGAAGGTCGTCCCTTTTGTTTACCATATTAAATATGCCATTAACCAGAAAACATTTTGATATTTTACCCTGTCGATATTCCCCCATTTTTATTGACAACCAGTGGACATTTAGATTGACCTAAATATTGAATTTTAAATCGGCGAGAATGAATCGGGGTAAATGGAGTTGCACTTTTTCGCTCGAATGGAGACATAATTTATTTTAAATATCTGGCGTCTCTTCTAATAGTTTCAGAGTTGATGATTAATGGGAGAATACCGTTTTTTTTTTAATGAGAAATAAATGAGAGAGCAATAACGTGGAAATGCGTGCGAATGCATCGATGAGCATCAATTTTTCAGGAAATTAAAGATTTTCCCTGTAGAATTGTGTGAAAATTATTCGAGACATAAGTAAAAATAACCTAATCTGCCCTTCCATTTTTCAATAGCTCCTCCCGAAAAACAATTTCCTCGTGTAATATTCATCGGTATTTTCTTCGTAAACGCGTGAATGGTAATGAGAATTGGGATTTCGCAATGCTCCGTACTCCAATCGTAATTATTGGACGGTCATTAATTCACCTCACAGCGAGTTTCAAATTAAAATAGCCCGTGAATATCCAAATTGGATTTTCCGAATTAATGTCCCACCGAATGGAGCAAAAATTAAACAGAACGAGAAATTTTCCAATTCTAGAATCGCGGACACCCGCAATTTCCTAGAAAAGGAGGAAAAAATCATGAGAGAGAATAAGCGAGGTCTTCTTGTCGTGTGATGGGGTCCAATGACTTTTCCATCTGAATTTTAATGATCACATCAGTCAAGCGGAAATTCAACGGCTCCAATTTTTTTCGTTATGCAACATTTTAATGAATTCATATTCATGAATTTTTCACTGTCCTTTTTTTTTCTATTCCCGATTCACTGAGATATTCAGCTTCAGATTCAGAAAACCACATCGGTATGCGTAATTGTTCCACGATTTTTCTCGAGGGGTTTAATAAACATGTCGAGGTAAATGACGAGTGCAGTCTATCCCAAGAATATTCATGGCCAAATTATCCCGAATACGTGATCACCGATACTCCGATAATTAAGTAGATTGCTAATAATACGAACGAGTGTCGTTGTTCGCTGTATAATATCTGGTATCATCACTCAATTAACAGTTTCGGTGTTTCCGGTGTATTGGGGGTTAATTGTCCATGAAATTCGGTATAAATACGAAATTTGTGTTGTCAATTAGTTAATTATGGTTTTTTTTTAATAGTAAAGTTTGTCGGCATTGACTCCAGTGTTCGAAATGATTCATCCCATGTTATTATTTATTTTTCGACAGGGAAAAGTGTTAAATGAATTTAATAAGTCGAATTCGTGTAGAACCCATACCTTTTTGCGGTGTGTAACCTGAGTAATTTGTTTATAATTCCGGAAGTGGGTCAGCTATTGATGGGATTTCAGGGAAAGCCCATTAGAGGATGGGTGGAGATTGTACAATTAAATTCAGTGGTTTTGATGCTGTGTTCAATGGAATTTTGGCAGGAATTTCAGGTAGCATCATTGGACTCAACGTCAGAATCACAATAAATGAGTTGAAAGGGAAAACACATGTGCTGGCCGTTGTGTTATGTTGAATTATCCCATTGGGATACTGTAGTAGCTGTTATCCATTGTCCCTATGCCGACAAATGTACCATTTTGGCAAAGGGGCAGGGGGTTTATGGACGGATGGAGAACAATCCTCTCCATTTCCTCGTCTCGGGATAACCCTGCTCCAGTTGGCTCGGTGTCAATCCGATAATGTCCACCCGTAGTTGGATGTTTTGGCAATTTTTTTTCGACTTTCCCCAGATTTTTATGGCCTCACCCTACCAATTCTCTATTTATCTACCAACTAAATAATCACTAACTCAATAATCACCTAACTTTATTTATAAAGCACTTTACATCCTGAAAAATATATTGGTCCATACAGCTCTAACAGCTGCCATTATTTATTTATGGAGGAAGGATCTTATATATTTCGCCGACTTTGGTATTTAAAAAATCTGATTTTTTCCGATACATGGAAATCCAAATTCTTGACACGCTCAAAATATCAGTTATGCCTCTCGGTTGAGTTTTTATGGGCATTCCACGGTCCACCAGGAAAAACTGTCACAACAAAAACATTTATTAATTTTTTACGGGCAACCGGTGAGTCAACGATATAACCGAACACATGAATAAAGTAACAGTTGTGGTTGTGAGTGGGACGGGGCCATCGGAAATAAAACGAGTGAGATAGAGATAGGACGAGTGACTCTCGAGTCCAAAGTCCAATATCGAGGGGAACCTCGCTCTGTTTCTACGTGCAGTGTTTTTACAGAGCGTGGGTGGCTTTCACTCCCACTAACGTGCCCGGGCAAAAATTAAAAATCCCATGTATCCCCCTTGGAAAATTTAATCTCGGATGAGGGATGGAAAGGCATATCTCAGTAAAAGACTTTTACCTTTTCTTTTCTTTTCTTTTCTTTCATTTTATTTTATTTTATTTTATTTCATTTCATTTTATTTTATTTTATTTTATTTTATTTTATTTTATTTTATTTTATTTTAGTTTATTTTATTTTATTTACTGGGTCGTACATAACAATGACAAAGAGGCTGAGCGCACGTGCGTGACAGAAGGCACGCCAGGGCCCGGGTTTTAGCCGTGGACTTTGGACTTTGCCAGGGAAAAACGAGGCAACCGGTAGGCACTTTGTGTACATATGTGTACGCAAATATCATCAACTGTTCATACGTTAACCTCATCATTTCTTTACCTAGGCCGCAGCAAAGAAAATTCACTCGTCATTCCCCTGTGATATATCAATCCAATCTCGAAAAACGGCATAAAAATAGGTATGGTTGGCGCAAAATAATGATTTAGCAACCAAAGTATTCAATTCATCCGATCCATTACCACTCGATTGCATATAATAACAGCAATAAGAATAGGACGGCCCCAGAATTGGAGCCGAGAGTCGGTGTGCAGTGGAAATAACGACTTTAATTTTCTATTCCATCGGGGGATATCGGGAGTAGGAAGATAATAGAAAGAAGATACCAAGTCAAGATAAATGAGACAAAGGAAAACTTGCGATTGACCTTGGTATGAGAAAGAGGTGGGGAGTTCATGAAGTGGGTGAGCCACGCTCTTGCCGCGTGTCCTGCACGTTTTTCCAATTTAGTGAACCACGCTTGGCACATATCATTTCCCTCTCTTTTTTCTCCCTATTCTATTCTCGTCGGTTATTTTTCCTCCAGAAGTTTCCTTCGAATTTCCAATGACATCAACTCAAAGTTAAGAGATGATAATTTTCTTTCCATTTTTCCGATGCTGTTTGATTTTTTTTTCGAATTTCGTTGAAATAATCACAATCACTCGGCGTGGGAAAGTAAAATTTCGCATTTTTTTAGTGTCAATTTATCTGCAAAACTAGCACTTCAAGTAGAAAGTGTTCAAGGACTCTTCTATAGTCGATTAAATTTCCTGTGTAAAAGGTCTTTTCATATTTTCTCCAATGGATTTTCGCTTCTCTTCATTATGTGAAAATATCCACTGAAGTGTCATTTATTTAAACACATATTTTTCTTTATATTTTCCATATTGTCAGGTAATTGAGATAAATATATAGCATTCATGAATATATATGGTCTCTTCGCGAATGTATATAAATTCCCGTGCAGAATGTCAGGGGCATAACGAATAAATAATGCAAAGTCCAAAGGTGTTGGGCCGATCATTTAATCGAATTGTTTTTCACTGCAATGGGGAGATGCCAAAATAAATACAGATTGAAAAATTAAAAGTGGTGACTAATGCCATGCTGAAATACCAAAGTGAACTTTGTTCGTGGCTTATTCAGACGTTTTGTATTTAGGCATTCGAAAGAGGTATTTTCGAAGGCAAAGTCCAACATTGCGGAGGTGTGTGTTACACACCTTCGGTTTAACGACCCCATCACACGCTCATCTGCTCCCTATTTCGTTGAACAATCATTGAAATAGATAATACGGGCGTTATCAAGGAGATAGGAATTAAATAGATTCAACAGAAATTCAAGTCAGATCAACTTTTTCTTGTTTTGTTCGACCAAGTGATGAATTTATACTGCTAATGCAGCAAATTATTCTTCATTCATTGGACACTGGACTTTATTACCCGACTAACCTCAATAATCCCGCAATTGCAGAGTGATGGGGGAGTGAGATTATCTGTGAGGCAATGAAGAAAGTCTTGGGTAATAATGAAGTGCGAGTCGTCCTCGACCGTTTCCGATTGCAAATGAGAAAGACTTTCTGGGAAAATGACAGCATTAATTTTACCCCAGTGTTTTCAAAATATTTTTTAGCTAATAATAGTAATAATAATTGAGGAGGAATTTCCTTGACATTTAAAAAAGCTCCCCCACAATTTTCCCTCTGAACTGAGAAAATTATCCTCCTTGAGAGACTCCTTTCAGTATAATTGCAGAATCTCCTCAAACATTTCTCTTTCTCTTAATCACCATATGCATTACGGAAAAGCCATGCACGCATCATTAAATGCCACCCAAAAAGCCGCAGTGCAGTTGTACCATCTCCATACGCTATAAAACCCGGAAATTTTCATTAAGTTGCAGGTCTCTTTACTTCATCCTCACCCAAAACTCACCCCATCCTCTGCTAAACTCCCGAGCGTCTCTTGCGCAAACTTGCGAATAGAATATATTTATCAAGTTTAAAACTTTATGTTAAATGGAAAACATGCTACCATCGAGGAAATACATTGGTATCTCACTGCGTTGAGTTTCAATGAGGGTTTTCTTTGGGGGGAGAGGGGGATTGGTTGTGTTGAGAGGTTGTACATCGATTTCTTTGGGTGGAAAGGGGTTGGGCGTTAAAACAGCTTTTCTCACGGTTCTCCAGGTTTTCAATTACCGCTCGAGCCAATTCGATTTGGAATTTCTCTCAATTCGCTCACTCCCACTGTAATTGAGAATCTAATGCGGAGTAGTTTGGGGAGCAGATCGATTTTATTAGGGAGGCATAAGAGTTGAATTGACGATTCACAGAATTTTTACATTTTTTTTTACAAACACAATGATTTATCTTCATCTTTTTCATTGAACGAATACATGAATGCATAAATTATTGGGTGAGGTCTTAAGCTCTAAGCGAGTACTGAGATACAATTGCCGGGTAATCGCATAATTTCATATTGAAGGAAAGATGAAATTAGTTATATAATTTTTCGAGAATCCTCTTGAGCTGAATCATTAATTTTCCTAGCCTTGGGTCATTGAGTAAATTTCACTGAGGAGAAACTACTTGACTTTGATATTCGGATGCCTCTGTTAATAAAAAACTTATTTTAGAATCTTGAGATATGAAAAGGTATTAATAACAGTGAAGAAGTGCTCTTATAGCTGGCTAAATTTAATATCCTGCCATTTGGTCGTTAATTTGGGTAGAATTTGATGCTGAATCTCATTGAAATTCTCTCGCAAATAGTAATAAAGCTCTATTGAGACAGCCATTGTGTTTAATAATTCATAACTCCAGCGGCATTTGAATAAAAACCCGTCATTAGATGGTGAAACAATTTTTCCGATAATCAATTAATAACAGGCCTCTGATTAAAATGAGGGAAATGTTATTTATCGCGATGAAATTATCGTTGTTATAAGATAGTGATATCTTCTCCAGTCGTTTGGGAAAATTGACTGATCAATTCATATTAATCACAAACTTGACTCCACGGTGCAGTTCATGTGCAAGGCCGATAGTAATGACCGCCAATTATCCTCTAATGACACTCGATGATGCATGTAGAGAGCGTGATTATACGCTGTCATATTCAACAACCACATGCAGTTGGATATGTCAGTGGTATATTATCAATCTCCCTGTGTCACCAACTTTTCCATTACTTTTTTATCATTCGATATTTATTTCACAAACACTCGCCTTTCACACAATAAAACTTGGAGAAAGCCTGGAGCCACTAAATTTCAACCGACGAGTGTCGAAGGTCGTTAGTGATGTCACTAGCAATTAGAGCTTTAATCGAGTTTCTTTGAGGGGGGGAAAAAAAATTGGCACTTCTCGTGATGTTTCTAGGGTCCTCGGAATCTGGGGAAGTATTCAAAAGTTTTAATTAAAACCGAGGATTTTTTCGTGGTTTGCGAAGGTTGAAAACATTCAATTGTGTGTCGTTAAAAGTTTTCCAGGGAAATGGCTTTCTTTGTCAAATTGGGGTCGGAATTTTGCAAATCTATAATTACTTAATAAAAATGTTATATTCGATTGTCTTATACTGTGAGTTGTTCTTTTCAATCGCTCTTCACTATTCACTGAATTGAATAGCCGATTTTCCAATTAATCAATCACGATTTCCTGTTGACTCAGAGGCACATGAGGAAGTTTACTCCCCAGAGGAGCATTTCATACACCTAAAAATAGGTGATTGACAACAGTAGGCGTCTGTTTTGGTCAGTAAATATTTTCAATGGAATAGTGCTTACAAAATTAGAGGGCGGTGTTTACCGTTTTGGTATATTGCACCACAACAAAACACGAAGAAACATAAGCCCCCCAGGTGACTCGATACGCCAGAGGAAACGTGTTTGTATGTATATAGATAACCATATATAGATAATGATGTATAGATAACGTTTCTGAAACGGAGCGCGGTAAATGCACACGAGAGACGAGCGTCGGACCGACCCATGCAAATAAACTGACCCCCAGCCGATTGTTTTACGACCTTTTTCTTCCCGTAATATTAATCAGCGAATTTGCTGTATCCTTCTTGCTATTGTGCTCGCTTTCAAATTATATTCATCGAGATCATTCTCCTCCATTGATTCACCAACTATTTCCTCTAAATTAATTACTATCTATATTCGAATCCCAATTCCAATGTATTTTCTCTGAAAATTATACATGTTGAATTATTCAAGTCTGAATTCGGCTGAAAACATAATTGTAGAAAATGTTTCTACTGCCTTGGAATAACTGATCATTTAAAACCCAGATCCATTTGACTCTTATCTCACCGACTAGATCCCCCCCCGATGTTCTACCATTAAAAAAATTTCCCACCACTTAAATCTCAAAACCTCGGAAACACCAGTCTCATCTGTTGCGCTCGACCTCCCACATCGTCACCAAAAAAAAAAAAAAAAAACAAAAAAAAACAAACAACGACAACCCGAAAGCCCAGAAAACCCATCAATAGCTCAATTTTACACCTACAGTTTCCCAAATGCTCGTTTCTGCTGCTGCAGCCATCGTTCAACGTAGAACAAATCCTAAAAATACCTCCACACGTGTGAGGAATATATACAAAAGCCATTCCCTTTGACGACGAAAAAACAAGATAAAAAAATCTAAACAACTTAGAAAACAAAGAGAATGCTTTACCTTTTCGAGGCACTCCCGTCCGATGGCCCTCGGGTCTACCTGGACCTCTAGAATAACAGAGTTTGCCTGGCTGACAAGACACCACATCGTGAGCTCCTCCGAGAATCGAATAAAAAAAAAATGAAAAAAAAAATTCAATCCGCAGGAAAAACTTCACTCGAATTCACTCCGCGAATTTCCGGAGAATGAAGACAATAAAACGGATACAAATGGCGAGTGACGCTCTTCCCCTGGAACCGCCAGCTCCGATTAAAATTTTCCTTCTCTGATTTTTCCCCTCAATTCGATGCCAATTCGTTTGCGATTACCAAAAAAAAATTGATTAGAACCCTCGGTAATTCATAACTGTCAGGACACTCTTCCCCTTGATATCACCGTATTGATAAAACGTCTGGTGCGATAACAACTCTATAAAACGAATTTCTTCAGATTCCATTTCTCTCCGGTCACCCCGATTATTAATTATTAATGAAAAATGTGGTGGTTCAGTCTGTCAGGAAATGTATTCAATGAACTATTTTCCCACGAAATAACGAACAAACGTGCTGTAGTGTTGCTCTTTATCGAATGGCTGACTTGCGAGACAGTTTGCTTGTGCAGAGGGAATTGAGGGGCGGGAGGGCACAGCTGATCCTGCTCCCCCACTTTTTTCTATGTGTTTTATGCGCCTTTTCCCCTTTTACGCATCTCCCACTCCTTAAAATGACTTTGAAGTGATTGGTGAACTGCTCGGGGGCCAGGAGAAGAGCTTTGCCGATTGGCGAGATGTCAGGGGGTGGGAAGAACCCAGGGGAAAGTGGAGTGCGCCCTCTGGGAATTTGATTTATCGGAATTCCAAGGGATTTGAATTAATTGTTCGGGACAGGATTCGGAGGATCGGCAGGTAATTAATTGGGAGTCGAGGCAATTGACGGGCTTCGATTTTTTTTTTATTATTCCAATAAAAAAAATCAATTCTAGGAATTTTTCTCATCAACCATCCAAGTCGAAATCCATGAATTTCCACAGGTAATTTCAAAATATACCAAGTTTCTAGTGGTTTTCAATGAATGATGAATTGCAGCGTTCAATCGGGAATTAGAAGTAAATTAATGGAGTCGGGGGGAGCGAGGGGGAAGGGAGAGGATAAAATCCTGCATAATTAGCGGTTGAGAGGGATTAAATAGGTAATGAACGAAGATTAAGAGATATCGATGTTTTCAAATCATTTATTTCGATGCTAATACTGTACAGACAGTCGGCTCATACGCATGTACACAATCGAGAAAACCTCCACATTGTTCTCAAACAATAGATCATTAACATTAAGGGAAAATAGCTGGATTAAACGGGGTACATCGTCACGAGATTCTCGATTATAGGGAGCTGACGAGAATCCAGCGAGGTTGTACCAGAAAATAATTGTTGATACGTTTACAATTGTCCTCGATGTAACAGAAAAACATGGAATGAAGCCTAATGTAACAACATTCATCTAGATACATTATTCTATAGCCACCACCTTAATTAAAACATTAAATGAATTTTTAAAATTATTTTGAAGGAGGAGCCGTTATTTTTTTCCATTCTACTCAATTCTCCACTTGATTTGAAAAATGAATTTAAGTGAAATAATTAAATTCAATTGCAAGTATTCAATCAATCAATGAATTGATTGTTGATTCTTAAATATTCAATGAATTAAATTGATTCCATATAATTTTTTTTCTAAATCAAATGAGATTCAAAAATCATCTGATTTTTATTGGAGCTGCGTAAAATGGACGAAAAATAATAAACCACTCCTAACGATGAAAAATCATCTCTTGATGTGTCTAGGCCTTGACACACAGAAACGACTCTCTCGTATCAATATTACGTGTAACATAGTTCTTGGCAATTATTTAATTAACTACTAACAGTAATACTCAAACTTTAAACTCATTGTTTTCACACCAAAAACTCTAAGCAACTGAAAGTTATAGTGATTATTGTCTCGAAGACTTGGTGAAGCTACTGTTCAATTATATAACAGTTTAATGCATTTTTTGAAAATTCTGCATGGAATTATCTATTAGAGTTTGAGTTTTACCGACTAGACTAATAAGTGTACAATTCGATAACATTTCATGGTATTTACTTTGCAAATACAATAGATCAACGAATTAATATCCTCTGGGGTATGAGAGGCTGTATGAATTTACATATAGTATTATGATAATTTGTAGATAGTTAGGTTTATTTAGTAATAGGTTAGGAGGCTTTTCGTGGTTTAGGCTTCGATCTGGTAATTTTTGTGCAATTCTGGCTTTATGTTGCACACCAACTGCAGAATCTCTTGTATCACCTAGTGAACAATTTTCATTTGGGTAAATGATAGGATTGAGGGGATTCTTCATGGTTTTTGGCAATTTCACTTACCTTATCTTTGTGGCCAGCCACACCTTTGTTCATTTCTTCGATCTTGATTTTAGTATCTGCATCAATGCGTGCTGCCACGTCTTCCTTGGAGCCCATGTGCTTATACCGAATAATTTTTAGAGTTAATAAAATGTTGAAGATTATTAATTAAATTCAAATTTAAGTGGTCTTTCACTGCAAAATGCTGACAACAATATTTTTGGCTCAGAAATGGAAATAGAATAATTTCGTTGTAGGTGATTGTGAAGCATTAGTTGGATTTTCTATTATCATCATTTATCATTACCTTGGCTTCGAACTCTCTGAACTGCCTCTCTCGCTCTTGCCTGTACTTCTCAATCTCCTCCTGGGCTTCTTCCTTGGCCTGCTTCAACCTGCGAGCTTTACCTGAATGAAAATTAATTGATCATCAATTCCATGAACAATTCGAATTATTTCTCTCATTCACTCGGAAAACTCGCTGAATTCTTCTCTCTTGTTAGTCGCTTAGAAGCATCACAAGACCAGTCATCAAGGTTAGACCCACCCAAACTATGAAAACCAGACCCTGGATGTCCTCAACCCCTCAAATTTTTCTCACCTTTTTGCCTCGAACGTTTAATCAACCTTCAAGCAATTCAATTAATTAATTGAATAATCGCATGAATCGTTGAATAAACAAGGCACATCCCTGAATAACCCTGAGACCCTCTGACGTACGCAAGTGGATGATTACCAGGGATTTAATTAATTTACCACAAAATATATTATCAAGAAGTATTGAATCCTAGTTACTCACGTTTTCTGGCTTCTGTCACCTTATCCGCAGCTTTTTTCTCAGCTGCCAGCAGCTGCTGGATACCCTGGGTCTGGCTGGCCATCTTTGCACTCTGTGAAGACGATGGGCCGAGCGATTTGAGGCTGATGGTAGTCACGAATCGATCATATGACTCGAGAGCTTCTTGTATTCAATACCCGTATGGTGCGGCGCTAGCTTTCAACTGGCTCACGTGGTTTTTCATTTAGTTTCTAATTCTTCAATGTCTAAAGATACCACCAAAGAGGATTGACTAATGTAAAGGCTCAGTTCTAGGGCTTTGAGTGACTCCACCGGCATTGTAGTACCTCACCCCAAGACAGGGAGGGCGACACACGCAATGCGCTGGCTAACTGCCTCAGCAACAGCCCCGCTGTAAGGGGGGCCAGTCGACGGGGTGAATGTTATTTCTTCAGTTACGAAATTGGTTTTTGTTTTTAACGCAATAGCTCCTCGGTTTTCATGCTCTCCTGATACTTTTTCAAAAATTTTGAATTTTTTAATTCCAGTGAATACCTCCTTCATTTTAATGCTCTGCTGATACTTTTTTGAAAATTTTGAATTTTTCAGTTTCAGTGAATACCTCCTCAATTGTCATGCTTTTCTGATACTTTTTGAAAAATTTTGATTTTTCAAATTTCCGTGAATAGCTGCTCGATTGTCATGCTCCTCTGATACTTTTTCAAAAATTTTGAATTTTCAAATTTCCTTGAATAGCTCCTCGATTTTCATGCTTCCCTGATACTTTTTTGAAAATTTTTAAAAACCAAGTTTTTATTGCAATGCTGGGGTGTCCATCAAGTCGACGGGGTGAATTTTATTTTCTGCTGTACGAATGCTTTTTGTTTTTCATTTGTTTAACTGAAATTTAGCCGACTGTAGAACGAGTGGAAGGGGGAAGCCACATTTTGTGGAATTTTAAATGAAAAAAATTATTCAATATGTAGAAGATATACTCCTATTGAAATAGATTATTATAATGAGCGCGTTGTCCTATCAGTAATGGTTTTTTTTTTTAAATAATTTCCATTTTTTTTTTGTAAATGGCTAATTAATGGAAATATCGTTTAAAAACTGAATATTTTGAAATCGAGAAGATATCCAGTGAAATTGAAAAATTAGCAATTTTTTAAAACGATACTTTTGCAAAATATATACTCCTAATGAAATTATATTATTCTAATAATGCGTTATCCTAGCGGTAACGTGCTCGGCTAGCACGCCGACGGCCCGGGTTCGATCCCGCCGTCATTCATTTTTTTTTTTAAATAATTCCAATTTTTTCTTTTGTAAATGGCTAATCAATCGAAATATTG